TGCTGATCATAACCAAGCAGGACGTACAGATGGCGCTTGACTGTGTTGAAAGCTTTAGCACTGCTGATGTCTGACTCAGCGCTGCTCTCATCCTTTGCCATGAACTTCATCAACACAGTAATGAGCTGGTGGACAGTCTGGTGATCAATCCCAGCATCCTCTGGCAGCAGGTCTTTTATTGTATTATCATTCTCTGGGGAGGGTTGTCCTATCAGCACAAGAGATACATCGGTATCAGACACTGGATAAGACTGCAAACAGGGTGCAGAACACACCAGAATTTTTTTCAGAGGTCATTGCTCCATTTCTGCCCAAATACACATGGTGAAGTCACAGGAGATAGGCATGCATTTCTGACGGCATTGTTCCTGTGTTGCCTCAGGCTCAACAGCACATTAACACCTACTGTGTACACTGAACTCCATTTCTCAGCTTTCCCGTGTTTAACCGAGCTGCTTATCTTCCTATCACAGTGCATTTCTGCCAAATTGAGTGTTATTATTCCTTCACACCTGTGCATTAAAGGAGACTCAAATCCCACTGCCACCAAATTCTCATCTGGCATAGTTTTCAGTCTTTCCTCAGCAAAAGTTAGTGGATATTAGTCTTTGCCAGTGGAGGATGTACAAAACGGCAAAGGTAGGAGATGGAGAAAATTCCACCAAATAATGATTAAACAAAGAACGAAGACTTCCCCTTTTAGCATTGAGTCCCTATTTCCCTCAAGTAACTTGGGCCAAAATGCAGGCACTATAATTTATTAGGTTTTGGGACACTATGTATCATGTCAAAACTTTGATGACTTTTTCCCAGAGAAGCAGCCTAAGACTTGGTTTTATAAACACTGAATGGAAATAATACTTTGCGTGGGAATACGATCATGTGAAAGACAATAGGCTACTTACAAAGCAGAAGGAAGGTTGGGTGCTGGCTATCACTATCCAAGCAAAACAGACACACTGCAAATAACGCTGCCAACTGGGCAATTATTTTAATTTTCATACGTCAATACTTTTTAAAAATACAGTATTTCCAGTTACTTTTAAGACCATTTATCATTACTAGAATTCTTTAGTAATTGCCTTTGGAGCTACCCTCTTCCATTTCACCCTATTTGTAAGGCCTTTTTTTAGTGCTTAGCAGTTCCTAAAGGTCTATGTTATACTAACACTAGGAATCGAATTCATGAAAAGCAGCAGCTATTTCACACAACAATATATCAGATTCTTTTTATTAAATAATTCTGAATAAATGCATGGCTAAAGCACATAAAGTATATTATTCCAACATGTTCTATTTTAAAACAGTAATTTAAATTAAATGCTTCTGCATAAATAAAATTATTATATATGCATTATATGCAAAATAAATAAAAATTATTTCCACTAGGATAATCAACAAAGGGAACAGAAAATATTATTTTCATAGCACGAAATGGGGGCGACACTTGAAAATTTTTTATTACACTATTAATTTTAGTTTGTTCATTAAACACTATAACTGTTAACAATTACAATTAATTATTATTAAAATGTATTCTGATGTATTATCTGATCCGTGGTTAAAACTCTGTCTAACAGCAAATAATTGAGATAAAGCAAGCTCATATGAAGCAGAATTATAAAATGATCTACTTGTTTTCATTTCAAGGATAAATCCTTTCAACTGTTGGAAATAGTCCTTACTTTTGCAAGAACAGGTTAAATTGAAGTTTGCAGGACAGACCCTACAAGAAAGATTAGCTCAAAGTATAATCTTAAAATTGCTCCTGCATGTCTGTATGAGGGTTACTAACCAACAACTAATATCCACTTAGTCTGTTAGAGTTACTTACATGTCTTAGGGTTTATGTAAATTCATAGCTATATATTTATAGCAAATACTAAAAATTATTTTAATATTCTAATTTACCCATATTCTCAATGCAATACGCTATTCTGACAAGGGACTCCTTTGCTGCTACAACTGCATCTGCCTTAGGTTCTTCACCAGCAAAACTGCAGCGTCTGTCATTTTTAAAATAATTTAAAATATTTTACGCTTTGTTGGTGGGTGAGCAAAGGGTTTTGTTTGATTGGCTGTTTTGCTGAGCTTGGGAGAAGGTTGCTATTTCTATGACAGCTAAAATGAAAACTAGGGGGGGAAATGTTCAGAATCACTTCTACTAAGAATAACTTTCCTTTACTGGTCTCATTTTGGTAAAAAGAAATCGTGAACTTCGTATTATATAATATTTTTTATTACAAACAGTTTTCACAGGGATTTTTTATTTACAGAAACCTTCCTTCAAAATGAAAATTCTCTATCCAAACTTTTGCTGGACCAAGATTTGCAGATCCAAAAAGAAAACAATAAATTCTGAAATAATTAGAATGAGAAATACAGCAAGTTCCATTTTCAGAAGCAGATTAAAATGTATATAAAAAATAACTTCAGCTTTGTGGACATAAACTGAGAAATAATCTTTCCCCATATTATACCCAGGTTAAAATTTTCCATGAAATTGTATCAAAAAGACACCATTTTCATAAAGATGATATTAGACTGTTTTCTTCAGCCCTACTTATTTTTATCTCTATTAAGTGTTGTGAGATTTTCCGTAAAACAAAGGAGATAAGATGGAATGAGTCAAAGGATCATGGAGCTCTAAATAAATCCTGGTTCTCCAAATAGAACTCAATGAGTAATTAATCTGAAAAGATTAACCTATTTTACTTTCACTTGCTGAACAACATTAATTTTGAAGCTCAATGATAAAATGCTCAGTTTTGGCATGAGTTCATAATACTAACACCAGTTAACAGACACTTCCCAGGACTTTTCCTGACATTTACTTTCCAGAAATATTATTACACTTTCTGAAGCATTAAAATCTCATTTCTTGTACTTTGCCCTCACTGAAAACTATACAGCAGGACACAAGAGTTTCACCCTGAGTAGTCTGTCATCTACTAAGAATCAAGTCTAGGGAATGTCAATCACCTTCTGTTTTTACTTTTAATGCAGAAACCTGCAATGAACCAGCGATGGAGAACTGCTTGTTTAAAATTACAAAAACCCTATGATTCCATTTAGGCAATAGACTTTCAGAGTCCAGAAAACCTTCCTCTGCTGTCTGAAATGGGTCTTAAGTTATACCAAGCGTGAACAAAACTTTCACTTCATTAACACACGATACCGGGTATGCTGTATCAAACCAAGCTGTTTAGATTCAAGCTAAGAATGCAAAACCAAGGCAGCCCTGTCTTTGCAGTGGCTATGGTGGCTTTTACCCCTCAAAATGCATGCGCATACATATACAATTTATGTGCATGTGAGTGTGTGCCTACATACAAGGTATATACATACACGCACACACACACATCCCCCAGGAAAACCTTCTCACATAACCAAACACACAGCCTGCTAGTTAACATACAGCCACCATTCCTGAATTCAATCTAGCCTTATGCCCACAGATTCACCTCTTTATTCATATAAAGAATATAATCAGACGCCTTATATCAGACCCCTTTACCTTCAAATTACTTTAAGATATAACACAATGTAACATAAAACATCAGACCACAATTATATCATGCTTCATCCCAATTGTGATCCCTATGCCTATCTATGAAACTCTCTAAATGACTGTCCAGGGTATTATGGAGGACAGATGAACAAATACGTGATCCTGGTGTTTAATCCATACAGAACGCACATTGAATTCAGCTTACATTTGAACTGTGCAAGGAGTACAGTTTTAGACCTAGAAACAACGGATGAGCATGAGGACTGGTTCATTCGAGTGGTATGTATAAAATAAAATGTTTTTCTACAGCAGATGTATAGCCTATGTTTAGGAGTCAGTTAGTTCCTTAGATGAATCAGATATGCTCAGTACTGCAATGCAAAGTGTTAGAAACTATGAGTCAAACCTTAAAAAAAACTATTTTACAAAAAATAAAGATTTTAGAAAGAAATAAATACTGGGCAGCAGGACAGGGACAGTCATTTGTCTCCTAGTTTCCAAAGCATCTGTGATAATTTTGAATCATATTATCAGACTTTTTTTCATATCAGCGGTTACTGCTACATGCAATTTTTTATATATACATTTTTAGTGGAACCTGAATTTGCAGCTTAGGTGATTAATCACCTGAGCCTGGAAACTGAACCTTTGAAATACCAAAATACATCTAATACAATCACAATGGCTAACAATGCTTACTGTGAGACTGACACTTCTTATGTGACAAGTTTCTCTAAGCCCAGTATATAGCAGGTGCAATTAAATGAAGAACAATCATTCACTGACACATTTGTTCATCGCACCATTATTTCACTTGTTCCTTCTATGAGCCTGTGACAACCTGCACATATGTTCTGTAAGGAACTGGTTGATTTCCAGCTCTCACTGGGCTAGTATGATAGGGCTATATACTGCTAATTCAGAAGCTCTCCTAGTCTATTTCACAGCTTCGTCAGCGCCCACACTGGTACGGTATTTTGTTTTCAGCTGATCACCCAGTAAGCTGATCTGTTCTAATTCTGAATTTGTGTCTGTTGGAAATATTGCAAGTCTCGAAGAAGGAATATGAAAAGATCTAAATCTGAGATTTTTCACTTCAAAATGGTCAGTCTACACAGGACTCAAAGCAAGAACTGTCAGTAGTCACAATGATTTAGAGATTACTTGGACCCTGCTGAGCTAGCTATTCTACAAATGCCTGACAGAAGGCTGACATCTTCACAAATGTCAGTAAATATAAAATAAGGGACTTAAGATGTCTATAAGCATACAGAGGAGACAAGTGTAATTTACAGTACCAACAATCAAAAGCATTCTGTTTGCTGTCTCTAAAACCTGAAGGTCAAAGATCAGGCTGGACATAGGTGACTCATGGGGCCAGCCTACTAAAGATTTACTTGTTCCTGTGGGCAATGAAACACTGGAGGGTGAGGGACTGCCGGCATAGCTGACTGCCTCTGAATAACCTCCTCCCAGCCCCAAAGTACTATTTACAACTGGGGGCAATTTTCAGTATAGATCAAGAGCAAAACTTCAATTTACGCCTTTTGGAACCATGCTGAGACGTGATTCACTGTGCCTTTCAGACAACTTCAATCTTGCATAAGTTTATCTCATGAGTCAGCAAGAAAGCTAGCACTAGTGCCTTCTCCTGTTCCATCAAAACACCCCCCTTGTCAAACCTACCTGGTGTTTGCTCTGGTGTTCCTCCAAGTGCTGGAGCAGACTGCTCGTGTCTGGTCAAGCTCAAAGCTTAAAAAAACCAAACAAACAAACAAACAAAAAAAAACAACAAAGAGCAACTCTGTTTAAAAAGGCAGTACTGACATACTTCAGCATATATTCAGTGCTAGCATGTTTATGTTCATTTACTCATGCAATGTTGTCAGGCAGTGAGTGTAACCGTTTAAAACATGTCACTTCTATGCCCTACAGATTTTGTGCACCATGTTCTGTAACTCCAGTTTTCTCCATAGTTCAGTTTTGCTGGTACAAGAGTCACCACACAGGAGCCCCTATGCATGATCAGAAATCAGTCAAGAAGGATTACCTAAGAGTCCCAAAATATGGTGGTGTTTGTTTTGGAGAATAGAAATTACCTTTTAAATTAACAGTTCACCAGCACCCAGGTTTGAACATTTTGTCAGTTCCTATTATATAGGTAGAAGCAATGCAATTTGAATATAAAGACTAATCTGTGTTTGTAAAACTCTCTAAATGAGAATGGGTAAGCTTTATTTCTGCTTGGAAGGATAGCTGTACAGCGCTCCATACAGGCCTATGGATTTCCAGCACCTAGGTCCTCCTATACAAGCTGGCAGGAAAGATGTGTTGCATGGACGTTGTTTTCTTAACAAAGGAATTCTGAAGATATCTAAAAGCTCATCTGAGACATTAACAGTAGGTTTTAAGATGTCTAGCGTATGCTGCATACACTGATTAATAATTACAATTAATAAATAAATTAGTAACAGAGGAATTTTTCTGTAAACACTGTATCTATTTCAGACAAAACTACTGTGTATTAGCCACAAATAAAAATTAAGATCTATCCACAAACTAGTCTTCGAGCATTTTGTTCTGGCATTTTAAACAAGCACAGCATAGACATAACGTTTGTCTATGTTCTTTGTCAAACTCACTAACTTGTCATTATCTGAATAATGCCCAAATCAGTCAGAAACCTAGATTTGCTATCCCAATTGGATAAATATTGACAATTCCGATGTGTACCCAGCAATAGGATACGATCCTAAGGGAGAAGATACAGGCGTGTCACAAGAATATAAATAGATACTCAACGAATTTTGGTGGTTAAGGTTTCTGGAAGGGAGAGCGCTCTCTTTGACTCCACTGGTCCCTTCACACTGTCCCTCAGGGAACGCACACTCTTCTGACGATTACGTGCGAAACGAGCCCTCTTGATCTTCCACATTGCTGCATCACTGAGGTTGGCGACATTTGTCCGGACAGCAGTGATAGCTTTGCAAATGCAATTGACCAAGTTAGGATTCATTCCACAGCATGGCGAGGCCCTAATGCTGCCAAGTGCCAAATGCAACTGGGCCCCAGGTCCCACTCAAGTCAAGAAAGCTTCATATGGGCTCGAGGGTCCATCTGCAAGGTACTCATCTGCATGCTCTCATTCTGAAATCCATAAAACCCCAAATGGCATAACTGTGTTTAAAAAATTATGCTGTTACTACTTTCTTTAGAGATTGGACAAAAACAGGTTCTTGAAACCAAAACCTGAATTTCAGGCTAAGGGAATATGAGATGCCCTCTATTTAAAACAGCAGGAATCTCATGAATATGGATCACATTTAGTGCACTCATACCCAAATGTGGCCTCTAGTTTTGCCTCACTGACCTCCTGTCCTGCCTACACCTATCGTCCTGGATTTGAACAGCGCCTCCAAAAATCTGTGAGTGTGATTATGCGTTTACAGTAGTGTTACCAGCAGTATCACTGCGTGTCTTAATGGGGCTACCAATACTTTTCTATACTCATGTCTATAGTGCATTCAAACTCTTTGAGTTTAATTATCTGAGCAACTAAAGCCAGTGAGCCCATCCTTTGCATCACTTATGTCTTTGAAAAGGCAAAGAGAAAGGTTAAAAAGAAACTTGAAAAATATGTTTTGCATATTTTAGATTTTAAATCACTCCCAAATATTCATATTTAAAGATATGAACCTACATTTGCAGCCAGAGGTGCTAGAAACTAGTGCTGAGATTCCCTCCTCAGGCCACAGCAGCAGTTCCCAGCTTTGGGTCAAGCTACTCACATATGGAGAAGAAAATATGTTTGCAGTTCCTCCCATCTCCTGTATGGATACAGCAGCAGCACCTGGACTTTTTTAGGCACTGGGCTCCGTGCAAGCATAGGAGGAGGCATTAGGGAAGCTGAGGGACCACACGCTGTCCCAACAGCTGTCCCCACCTCCTCCAAGCAAATCAGACAGAAATAGGTCTGCCTCATGGGCCACCACTTGGGTAAGGAAGTTTTCAATTACTCAGCATGTTAAACAATCATGCACAAATTATTTTTTAGCCCCCCCTAGTGAATGGAAGGAGACATGATGTCTCATCAAGAAACCAAGTATGAACAGGACAAACATTTACAAACATTTGTCACTGCAGGAATAGTTAACTGAGCACCAGCTCTAAGAGTCCGTGTACCTCTTGTGCTGTGCCCATACATTTGTTTGTTTTTCGAGGGTCATACAGCTCCTAGGGCTGTCTTTGTACAGACCGCTACAGAACGGGGTCAGGCATGGCTTAGGCCTTGGAGAATAGCAATTTGATAGCATAAGAACATCTATAAAAGAACAGGTGGGTTAACGCAGGTTGCAGCTGATCACAGAACCAGACCACTTTTCAACCAAGGCTGGCAATCATATCCTAGTGAGAGTAAAACATGACGCCCAAAGGTGCGGCAGAATATAGCCTAATCTGTATCTGGGCAGTCAAAAAATGCTCACTTCAAATTATTCTCTTTTGGCCTGAAAGATTACTTAATTTCAGAGAATTTATACAGGTGAGACCTACATCTCAGACCCTTGCAGGCAGCTGAAATTCCAGAAGCTGATAAAAGGTGATCAGATTGATTTGGACTCTGCTTACTTGTTGGGAAAGGGAATTCTTTGTTGCAGTCCAGATGAAGCTGTGCTTCCAGAGACAGGGTCTCAAAGCGATTCACAAAGAACTCCCAGCTCAAAGCCGGAATATCCGCTTTTAGAAAATGAAGTAGCAAAAGCTTACTAAGAATTGTGGGCCTGTCCTTGACAACTGTGTCAAACTGGAAATCAAGGCAGAGGCAGAGACCCTATAGAGGGAAAAAAAAAAAAACACAAAAACACAGAACTGAAATGTGAAAACTCTATTTTTTAAAGCAAAGGGAGGTCAAAGCTCTCAACTTCTCCTGTTAATTAGTACAGAATAAAGGTTTAGCTCCTTTTTCCTACCAAGTCCTTTAAATCAGAACTAATGCTACTGATACCAGTGGAAAAGTAAGGTAAGTAAGGAGATAAATAAACATCATCATATTTAGAATGTAGAATTTGCTAAGATTTTGAGGAATACAAAGGTGTAGGCAAAGTTCTGTCCTACCGCACATTTGGTACACAATATCAAAGTATTCTCTTCACACACCCCTGCCTGAGAAAAAGCTTATATTTAGGCAACTGAATCAAGCCCTTAATTACAAAAAGAATGAATCACCAAGCCCAAACAGAGGAAGAAAGATTATGTGGTGAAGTATAACAGAAGCACTTTGCCTCAAAATGCTTCTGTATTTTATTTGCACTAGAATTTTGGGTGTAGTGTCAAGACTTATGTTTGAGAAGAAAACCCACACATTAAATATGAAAGTGCAGTATACTGGTAACAGTCTCAGTGAACTCAGTGAATTCAAGTTCTCTGGAAACTATTTTGAAAACGCACTATATGGAATAAAACTAGCAAGTATTAACACCTTTTTATAGGCAGTAACACTGAACTTTTTAAAATACATATTCATTCTATTCTCAAGACAACTAGAACTGAATTGTGCACTACGAGATTTTTTTTTTTATCTTGCTTGAATACATAGGCTCTGATCCACTTTCATATCTGCTTAGTTTTAATCATGAGAATTCTGACTGGCAAGGTCTCTCACATGCTTAAAATTACATGCCTAAGTAAATCTTGAAAAGATCAAGACCATGTTTGGTTTTCCTTGAATATATTTACTCACTGTCAGCTCAGCAGGGTCATAAGACTTACAAATTTTTTTTTTTTTTAAATTGAAAAATGTCAATAAATTTTAAAATAATAAAAAACGTTTACAGCTTTCTACGATAGCAGTTCAAATGCAATAGTAATAGTCATCAGAGTTTTTACAGTTGGACTCAATGATCTTAAACCTCTTTTCCAACCTAAATGATTCTATGATTCTAAGTTGGAGCTAGGGCAATATCATTTCCCTTGGCTATTCTGTGCATATGTCAATTACCAAGACCCGTAAGGCTTGCCTAAAGAAGTATTAGCAGTGATCGTGATGCTGTACGCCTGAACCACTTTGAACTTTGGGCGAAAACCCAGATTCCTGTTTGAATGTATTTTTTCCCCATATAACGAACCTACCTGTAAAGCTGGCCTCTTTATGGTGTCAAGTAATAGCCCAGCTCTTGTAGCTACTGCTGGGTTGACATCTTCCACAGCAGTCAGGAAACAGCAGAATGCATGAGCCAAAGAGTACTTCAGTAGGTGGTTTTTTGTCACAGAGTGAATATCCAAAAATCTGCACAACACAGCCACCTTCTCCACTGTAACAGCCATGTCCCCAGATAAAGAAAATATGCATATTAATTCAGGTAATGGCTTCTTTATGTCCTGGTTAATATACCTCTCCTAGAAATATGCATATCTGAGAAAGTAACAACAAAAAATAGCTGGCAAGTGTTGTAATTTTGATTTTACTTTGATTATCCAAAATGTCTCATGTTCTCCTCTATTTTATTGCATTGTTGTGTCATAGTTTTGCACCAGACTATCTCCAAAGCTCCCCAAAGAAGCAAAAAGATAATCATCTATTATAGGTCTCCCCAGTTATAGTGGAGAAAGCTCTACTTCTTCAGCGAAGCAACAGAGAGCAAATAGTGTACATTTCTCAGGCCTACCTGCTTCAAATCTCATCTTCCAATCTTTGCTGTTGAAATTGCTGTTTATGATTGTCCAGAAAATGTCAGCTCCATGGGGAAGCGAAAGTGCATGAAGAAGAAGTGGGACTGCCAGGGAAGAAAGCTGAGAGAACTCAGACTTCACAACTCCCCATAAGCTGGAAAGACCGAAAAAAGCAAGCCTGCTTAGAAGAACACTCCCTTGACACCCTTTGTTCTAAATGTCTACACTGTATTGTTGGTGGGAATGCACTTTTCATGAAAATCTCTATGAGCCATCCTGGGCATTTATGTGAATACTACAGAGTTGTGGCAGGAGAACAGAGCTACTTGCAAATCTTCAACTACAGCAGTTTTTCTTGAAAATCCAGGTTCAAATATTCCTTACATTGAAACACTTCAGATTTGACAAGAGTTTGCCTAATTCAAGGCACAACTGCCATGGAACATAATCTATGCTATGAATTAGCAGTTTCAGCACAACCAGCTTCAGTGCCTAAGCCACACGAACTGTCTTGGTACCACGAATCATGTGCATCCACGAATGACTAAGATGTCGGGTGTTCACAATTTGCTGGTATTTAGATTCAGGACAGTTTCTCTAGTCTGCTAAAACCCTACAGCCTAGGGAGGTGCACAATGAAATTGATATAGAGCAGCTGTAAGCGCTGATGAACACTCTCTATTTCAGAACATCATATGCTGATGTTTATCCAGTGAGTCTTCTGCAAAAGTCCCTTTCTCCAAAGAGAATCTTAAAATGCACAGATTTCAATCCAATTCACTCTGATTCTAAATGAAAAAACTTCCTTTACCTCTTAAAAATACAGTGCAATACTGTTGTTCTCTCAGCTTTAATGTTTTTATTTTGTAGAGCCAGGCAAGATACCTCAGTCTCAGACAATGCTATTATTCAGTATGAGAAACTCTGACTTACTGCAAAACAAGTAGTGTATGACAGAGTAGCCATGACGGACAATGCAGGGTACCTTGGTTTCATTTGCAACTTCTTAATTAGCGTGTGTGATGTGCCCTTATACAGTTACTTAACCTTTCCACACTTCCCTACCACCTTTTGTTAATTTTCCACACTAAACCTGCAAATCCTTTGATTCCAACAACGAATGTATAGTTGAAGAATCAACGAAGTATGAAGACAAAATGTGTGATAAAAACCTACCTTGCAATCAGCATGTGGTCTTGAATATAGGCAAGAAATTGTGGATGGTCCTTTCTTGCTATATACAGGCATTCCCCATGAAGACACAGGATCTTCAGACAGTTCAGCATGTTAAAAAGAATGTCTGGTTCTTCAAACCTTGACATTTCCTGTGTAAGCAGATGTACTACTCTTAACACAATGGTACCACTTAACCAAAAATTCAAACTAAATAAACAAGTAATCAACGTTACCTGCAATATAGTGTATACGAGCTTCAAGGTAACTGGAAGTTGCTGATAACAAAATTTTCTTTCTGTGTCATTCTTTACTGCTGTTAAAAATGTGAGTTACATAAAATGTTGTTAAAGTTCCTCATCTGTGGATTCAAAATGAAACTAAAGAATGTCAAAGTGATGAGAGATAAATTAATTCTAGCCACAGTAACCCTGCAGTCAGTAAAGTTACAACAGCATGGAATTTGGCACGTAATGTTTTTGCTACTTTGTATGTTCAAAAAGCCAAGATTTCTTCTAACACTTTTTTGAGAGACAGTCACACTTGCTATCAACATAAATACAGCCTTCCTATTTAATTAGTACGTTGAAAGAATTAAATGCATGAGGAAAAAGTGACTGTGCATTGTCGGACCTGAAAGACTGCTTCAGAACCCTGTACTCTATATGAGTAGAAGCGTTTCATTTAAAGCCTTACTGAGATACTTAACCTTCTCACCCTCCACCTACCAGCATTTTCTGTGGTCTCTGTGTGATTTCCTGGGTTTTCTCCATGTTTTGGTGCCGATTTGTCTTCCTCTTCTCCTTCAGTTCCTATAATAAACTCAGGTCTAGTATACAGAAGACTATCCTCGAGGTTATCTGTTGGCTCCTTTAAGAATATAATAAGTTAAATTCATTTCTTGATGTTATCTAAATACATGAGGCCATATCCTGCTGTTTAAGTTACATTTGGCAAATGAGGCAGACACTGTCTAGTTCCATGTCCACTTGTCCATTCAAATCACTTGCATATCTAAAATTCTGCATTAGCAAATGCATACTGACAAGAAGACTATGTTTCAAACATGGATTTAAGTGATACCACTTAACAAAAACTGTATATCCATATTGGAGCTGACGTCGATCCAATCACAGGGCCATGATTTCACCAAACTTGTCATCCTTGCCTCAGAGGAGTAACAGACAAGAGCAGGGCGTGTTTCCTACACTACTGTAGAGTTACAGGCTTAGAGGCAGGAGCTACCTCAATCACTTTTACATTGAAAAAAGGACTAGGCTGGAGTTACTTCTGCCTGTGGCCAGGAGCTCAGGATTACAGATTGCCATTGTGACCTTTATGTTATAAAACACAAGGTGGATCCTAGAAACGGTACCGAGCCCCAGCACTCAAAAGACTTCACCGCTTGCTACTTTTCGGCTGAGGTAAGAATCTGAACTGAAAGGGCATGAGATGATTTTTCTAGCACAAGTTACTGAATACCACATGCACAATACCTACTATTAGCATACACATCCAAATGGAATTCTGAAACTTTTACACATCAAAAGGCAACACTATGCCCACCACCAAAAAAAAAATTACTAATAAATATCCTGCCACTACCATGCCACAGCAAATGAGCACTCAGAATAAGGGGGATTATGCTGTCTTCTGAACTACCAGATGCATCAGTTACGTATACCAGACATATAGCTTAAAATAAATTCATCACACCACAGGTAATGCTTCAATTCTTCTGCAAAGCTACAGAGGACCTTAATGATGACTAGCAATTGGAGAGTACATACCTTTGTTTGATAAAGCTGGATATTCAACCTGAAGTATATTCGGTTTTTCAACGGTGCTCAGCATTTTCAAAAATCAAGCACCAACTAAGGCTTGCTCATTTGACAACTGATTCACTCAAAATCATTAAGCATTTCAAAATATCCACTCTTAGCTTTTAAAAGAAGATGAAAAGCACTAAGTATTAACATTTCACATCTTATTTAAGACACAGTATCATAGGAGTGTCCTTCCAAAGTGAAACAGCACTTCAGTGTTGATGGGGGAAGAGTTCATACTGGATGAATATTGTCATCTTCCCTTCTTTGAATCAGTTCAAATTTAGGAAATTTTACAGTTCAATGGCATTTTGCTTTACCCTCCCAAATCCTCCATGCCAAAAGCCAGAGCAGCTTTGCTCCCTTGTGCACAATGTAATGAGAACAATGAAGAAGAGGAGTTTCAATACACCGATAATATAGGCACTTTCCTGCTCTACTTACCACAAGCCTGATTTCTTCTTTTGGAGCAAGCTGTTCCAGCAGCTCAAAACCCAGCTGGTAACACAGAATGCTGGACTGACACAGACCACATTCAACTGCTTTTTCATCTTTCTGACAGGTGTGTGAACCACCCCAGGGTGCCTGGAACACATTGTTTATGATGGATATTATATCTTTTGAAATGCTGTTCTCTAAGCCCAAAGTGACACCATCATCCTGGAGTTCCATCTGAAAGAGAGTGAAAAGAGTAAGGATTTATTATTCATCTAAAAGCCAGAGCACTAACTATTCTGCCTATTCCCACATTTCTGCTAGTGTTATATTACAGTACTGGGAAGAGTTTGAGATAAACTGGAACTCACAATTTTAAATTGCCACTGGTGTTGAGGCCCAAGCTCAAACAGCTAGAGTGAACAGACAATTTCAAGCACAGGATCCATGAATTTTACCTGGAGACAGTTACCCAAAACACTTGGCCTTGGATTCACAACGTACAAATTTAGCTATCCAAAAATTATGCAGCTAATCTAAGCTATGAACAAGCCTCTGCTTCTAGTCTGTAGAAATAAACATATCTCCAAGGAGAAGTTCCTTTCACTCATATGAGCTATCTAACTTGAATGCAGACATATCTAACTTCTCTTCATTGAACATGAACCTATGACTCCTATATGAGTAAAGGCAGATGACAGCTGTAGAGGGATTTAAATGCCTTATACTTCATGCCAGTCCCTTAGCAGAAAGGGACTCAGTAGAGGATTAAAGGAGAGCCAAAAGTGACTACAGAACTTCAGCGTCCCCTCAATCTGTTTTTCTTCTGCGAGTACCTGCTTCAAGATGAGATCAAACATCAGAATGAAGCAATTAAGATTCATTTCATCATCTTCACAGTCAAAATCAATTGTCTTTCCACTGGTGTGTCCAAAGTTCTTGAAGGGGCTATGAAAAGGGCTACGTATTGGACTCCGAAATGGACTCTGGAAGGGGCTTGGGAAAGGACTCAGCATGTTGTGCTGAACTCTGCGCCCAGGGTCAGAAGCAACGCTTACCTGAAGACATAAAGAATCAACACGTCCAAATGACTGTTACACATTTAAGCAATCTCATTCTACATGAAACTGCAGAAAATGGCAAGAACTTTGACAGCCTTACTATTCCCTTCCATAGCTTTTTTGCAGAATCTACACGTGTCGCTTAATGCCATTAAATGATAAAATATGATAGAAGTACAGAAATCATATTCTGCACAGATGTATACATTCTCTTAAGCTAAGTGGCTGACATCCATTATCTTATTCCTACTAAGGGGAATTTTAACATCATAAACCAAACAGAAAATTGGTGCAGGCAGTAAACTGGCCATCAGGTTAAAATTATCTGCTCCATGATCCAGGGACACGAACTTCAATAGTAGGAGGCTAATAAAGGAGACTACCTCAAGAAAACAGTGTAAGGCTATACCAAGGATACACGTAACTGGAAATGAACTAAACACAACAGTAACAAGATGTGCATGTCTACATTGATTTATGTCCACACCACAGTAGGCCACCTAAAACCCTGAGGACCTCTAAGTGTTGCAGTGAGATACACAGTTCGATAACACGAGGTCTATTTTTAGGCCAGCTATAGTCTGAAAGACCAGACAGTAAGTTTGTCCGTTCTTTCTGCTTAGTTTAGAAGTGGTCATGGGCTAGGTGTTGAAGTGCTCTCTGCGGAGCTACATCCGAAGACACGCAGACCACATGTAAGGAATTGCCAACTGCCTAGATGCTGTAGTTCCTCAAATCTAAAGATCTGACCTTTCAAGCACTCTTGTTCCTGCTGTCCTTGAAGCACTTCCTCCAAGACTACTGGGAAGTTAGTCACATCAGTCCTAGTATGTGTAGTGCCTACAGATTCGTACATGTTTTCTTCCACACCATAAGCCTTTGACAGACAACTTTAGATCAATTTTTGCATCTCTTGGACGAGAAAAAAAAACCACAGGGGAACAGAAACAAATTCTGCTCTGTCACCCTTCCAAAACATACCAAGGCCCATCAAATTTCTACCAGAATACAAAAACTCATTCTGGGTGACCAGTTGTCCACAACAACTTGTTGTTGGTGGTTATTAATAGAAGTGCAGAGAATGAAAGTGGTTGGAAAAGATACCAAGAACACTCCAAACATATCCCAAACAAACCAGTTCACTAAGGAAAAACTGCACAGTTTTTCTGCAGTTCCTATCTGCATTATCTTTATACTGACCATGTGATAGAGTGGTATTTATTGAAGAAGTCATGCCAATTTTCCTCCATTTTCAAAATTTATAGTGTTTCCAATCAAATGCTGCCATATTGAAAGATGACTTTTTAATTCTTCACATGCATTCTATTAGGAAAACTGTTCTAAGCAAAATAATAAGCAGGATAAATAACAGTTACCCTCCGAGCTGTGAGATTTCCCGCCAGTTCACTGACTCTCGATTTTCTTTGATTTGCTAACTCTTTTACAGAATTAACTCCATCAGAAAACATGCTAATTAGTAACTGAAGAGGAACAACAATGTCTAGTTCAGATAACACCTGAGGAAAGACAATAAATAAAAAACGCATGAGTTTCAAGCTTGATCAAAAGTGCCAGCCACTTTATAAGCATCTTTATCATATGATCCTCAGTTCAGCACGTTCCATGCATTTAATTTTGGGATTCAGTGAGGTGAGCTGCAAGCTTTGATTTCTGTTAGAATCAGAGCAGAAGAGAACTGGCAAAAAAAAGGGTATTTTCAAAATATTTGTTGGCATCTGCTTGGTGCACCTTGAGATCAGTTTTATGCACAAACATACAGGGATTTAGAATTGTTCCACAAAAGTATTTCTGCAAATCAAAAGTATTACCAATACTTGGATGAATAACTATTTACTACATTTATTATTACTTAAAACTGAATTCCTGTATTTATTCTAAGAATCCAGTCAGAATGGTTGCCTACAGGCGTCAACATAGTGACAGGATGGTTATCTGCAAATCACTGAGGGAATATTCATCACCTATTTTGTCACCAACACTCAGACAAATATGAGCTCATTCGTACTTGTCATTAACTGTTATTAGGTCAAGAAAAATCAAAAAAAAAAAAAAAATCATACTTTACTTGAAAACTCTGTATACATGAAAATTGCTACAGTCATCAGGTAAATTGGTCTTTGAAGAGGCTTAACCAAAATAACCCTCAGCAGAAAAGAAGTGACAATGAAGAATACAGGTATTATTCTGAGGTACCATGGAAAATTTTATACCCTTCTGAATTCACTGCCCCCAGCTGACATGATTGTCCCTGTAGCTTTTGAATATGAACACTGGGTGAATGCCAGCTTTGTGGGCAAATATAGCACAAAAGGGCCAGAGCAGCAGAAAGCTTGATGGGTACAGAGTTAGCCTAATCCAGATCTTCATAATCGGGAACAACTACAGCTGCTTCTGGAGTCTGGAATTAATTTTGGAATCTACAGACCAAATTCTGTGGAGACTAAAAACTACTGCTGCCAAAAAGTCAGACAGCTGAATGGCCCTAAGGACACAACTGACATTCAAAGGTAAAAGGAATTTCCAGGCTTCCATTATATTGCCCATGATGGGCTAGTAACATAAAGCTTGCCGGGATCTGTTTACCAACCATCCTTCCACTGGGGCTAAGCAAAGGGCAGAAAGGTTCCATGATTCTTGGAAAAGTGGTTTCTTCCTCTCCCCCCCTCTTTTTTTTTTTCTTTTCCAAAATCATAAGCTGCTTCAGCATGCCTTGTCAAGAGAGGACACTTACATGCAGCCAAAGCAATGCTTGCTCTTGCACAGAAGACGGGTACCCTGTGAATCGACAGCTAATGAAGCCAAACATCTCCTCCATGGAGAAAGGGAGAGGGCAAAGTTCAATGTCAAACATTTTGCTGAAAAGTAGAAAAAAAATATAGCATCACTGAGTTACCATGGCATACAATGTGTAAGATATAACATAAAACTGTTAGAAAGACAATCTCACTACCAGCACTGACGATGCTTTTATAATCTTACTTGCATCCCCACCCTCCACAGGAGTTGAGCTAGGTTGCTGATACCACCTGTCCTGACTGCACAAGGTCATCTCTGAAGTTGGTGATGCACCTCATATGCCCAGTTTAATTTGACAGCAATATCTTTTTCAACATCCAATGTAAAAATGGGAAAATTTCTCAGCTCACCACTCCTCCGCTATTCCATGTTTACACTAAAAAAGTTTACATCAATACCTACAAATATAAACTTACAGTCAGTTTCAGAGCCTCTTCATCAGTTAAAAGGCAATGTGAAGTGTTATTGTCAAAGGCATACACCAGCCATGAAATTATGACTCAGACACCCACCATTCTTATTCTGGTGTTTTCTTTGCTCAACAGGGGAAGATACTAGCTAAATCAATACAAATCATTACTCTTTCAGTACCAGCTCTACTAATCCCCACCATTTCTCATCAACAGCTGGCCAGGAGCAGAAAGATGCTTCTTCCACCACGGTGCAGGAAGCCACTGAAAATGTGCCTTGCTCACAGCAAAGAAGTATCCATGTAGTTGGCTCTTGGTACAGATTTGAGGATATCAGGAGTGATAAAAGGAAACTTTCCCAAAGCTTAAGTGCTTTAGTCTAAATATAAGTCATAAAAAATTCAGAAGCATTCACTCACTACTGTCTATTGCACACAGGCATTTTTATTTGTCGTCACCATCTTATTATACTAAAACCCTCAACAATCAACATACGCAACGATAAAATGGTTCCTACATATGTCTACATACCTCAACACTTCCCGGAACTCTTTCAGTTGATTATCAGGCACTTCCATCCTTATAGCTTCCAACCATTCTGGCATGATACATTCCCACACCGGCTGGTTTATCACATTGTACGGAATCAAGCAAAGGATTCGATTCAGCCCTTCTTTTAATTGGGTCACAGCACTACATGATTTGTCCCAGTATCCACCAACCTGTGGGTATTTCCAGGAATCATACTGATGAACGATATTTCTAGTTCCTGTTACTTGCCCAGCACCGTAAATTTGCTCAGTGTGTTGCAGCCAAGAAATTGTGTGGGGTGATCATCAGCACCTTCCAGCCTGAATTTAGAATTCAGCCATGGGGATTGCATTGTTTTATTCCTCTCATTTGACCCACAGTACACAAAAGCACTGTCCAAGATTTAGATGAAGTTTGCTCACTTCCAGGCCATGACACAGAATAACCTCTCATTGTTTACAGCTCTCAACTAGGGACAGATTTGTTTGGTCAAACTTGCACCTTCGATTATTTGCTCTGGGCAACTTGTTACAGTGCTGCGTCTTTATTCTGAAAAACTTGGTCTGTACCAGGTGTTCTTTTGTGGTTGTCTTGTTTTGGATTTTTTTGAGGGAAGGTTCTAAGTGATGGAAGCCAAAAAATATACTTCTAAGTAAATAAATAACTGGCCTACAGAGATTAATTATTCTAACTGACCTCAGGTCACATCTGCTGTTCCTGACTAATGGCTCTAGCAATGCCTGCTGTTTTGGCAGCAACTACTGGTAATCTCAGCCAACAAACTGTTTTTTCTCCATTCATCACAGCTAATTTCACGGCTGTTTGTCTTCATGTTCTAGTGAACCCTTGCAAATCTGGCAAGTTGTCAGTCTAGTCTTACGTATTGCAGTGGGGGTAATAAAACTCAAAAAAAGGGGCTGGATCCAAGAAAAAGATCCATAACAGATTACAGCATGAGGTTCAGTCCTTCCTTTCCCCTTTAGCCTCAAAGCCCTGATCTCTTTTCTTCAGTTCTAACATTCAATTCATCCATCCACCTCTCAAATTTCCTCAGCTGCCCTCCAATCCTCCCACAGCCAGGTGTATCTTCAGAGCGATGGTTCAGAGTGAGACACATCACACGCTGGTCTGCACACGAACAGCAAATCCCACATATTAGGTCATGAAAAATCCACGGATGGACACTTCATCCCTGATGACGTAATATATCACATAAAGTATTTATGGCCCCTCCTAGTCTAGCCACTTAATTTTAGGAAACAAAACCAACATGTCCCCTGGACATTTTACATAAGAGGGTCATAAAATGAACATCTTCTTACAAAAGCACATGTGGTATAGTTGGCAGTGATAAATGAGGAAAGAGTCTTAAATCCCTCACAAATATAAAGTTCCTATTTTCATGCTGATGTTTCATTTCCTACAGAGGAATATTCACATGCCTGACTTTGTCGCCTGTCTTCACTATCCAGGTTAAGTGGCGAGTTCTGCTTCATAATTAATGGACAGAAAGACTCTTTCCAGAAGTGATTCCAGCAATGGTCTCACTTAGGCACCCTGAATGACCTTCCAGCTAAGTCTCTTTCTCTCCATCCAATAAGGCGAACCATGGCAGACTAGTCTCTTAACTAAGTCACTTAAATTAGGTATCCGAAGATACAGGGCATCAGTATGCCCAGAATTCCTTTCGGTTACAACTGTGTGATTCCATGAACCTTAATTCACAGCTACAGAGATGAAGTATGCAAAGAACAGAGAAACATTAGTAAAGCAGACTAGTAAAGGACAGGCTTATACCTGGGAGCAGACAAATGATACCTTTTACTAAAGACAAACTTGGGTGCTTCAGCAGCATAATGGAAATGTGCAGCTATCAAAAATGTACAGTATCTTTCAATACCTATAATATTCTTCCAACCTGCCTTCATATTACTGTAAATAATCCCCACTCTCTAACACGGTAAAACTAAAAATGCCATGAAGAGGAAAAATTCCTGAACTCCACTGCTCCCTCAACCACTGAGATTTCTTTTTCCTTGACAGAGCTGGGGGAGAAATGGTCTTTACACTTAAGACTTTAATCTCTGTGGCAAATAAAGGAACCTTGAGATAAATTATTCTTACCCTGGCAAACTCCATTGGTTTAGGAAGGAGGCACATAACCATGACATCAAACCGGACATCACAAACAGTCTTCAGCCACTTAGTAACAAACTGGGGTTTGAGCTTTTCAACCAGGCTACCAACTTCATCATCCATCATGTAAGCTGTAGAGTGAAACCACTGGAATACCATGCTAACTAGCCTTGCTAAACTCTCTGTGGGTGTATTCTCACTGGGAGTGCAAAGGCTCACCTGGAAAACAGAAACACAAATCAAGTTTCATTTCTAGAATTAAAGATGGCAAGGACAATTGATAAAACATTTCCAAACCAGAAAATAATAAAAGGGGTGGGGGGGGAAACAAGCACTGACAACAGAGAAATATTCATGTCATTTCTGGGGAAACAGCTGACAGCACTGCTTCTCAGAGAAGACCAGAACCCATCTTACAAGTGCTTTTCCTCCACATTTTTTCTTGGGATGAGGCAGCTAACAACACCCTTGCCAATTCAAAGTACAGTCTTCATTGTTCTACTTCATTGCAGGTTGAAGTTAAGGTGTTTGCTTCCTAGTGCTTGTCTCAGTTGAGTGTTAACTCAAAGGCGTTATCAGCTGGCTGCCTTTTTAATAGGAACTCTTGAGCTCTGTCCACTTTCTAGATGAAAGGTATTCATTTTACGAATACCTTTACCATAGAAAGATAGACTCTCAATGTCAAGGATGAGGCATGTACAGTGTAACAAAACTTGTTCTGTTCTCACTTCAATTCTACTTCTGGAAATGTAGACCTTCAGTCTTTACAAAATATCATTTGAAACAGAATAGATCAATATAGCACAATAAAAAAAAATTAAAAATAATAAAAGGCTTCAAGTCTAAAACACCATTAAACAACAAAACCCACAAGATATCAGCAGAATATAAAGTTTACTCATGTGGTCACTTGAAACAGCAGAGCAGCTTTGTTGGCATTATGGGATTCTAGACCTGCCACCCTGTTGTCCCTATCTCTGTTTAGACGATGGATGAGGGGTCGTACTAGTCCCCACTCGTCACTGGGTAACTGAGGAGGAGACAGGATCCTGAGAGTTCAAAGTGAATTGGAAAGAGCCCGAGAAGGAGAATTCTCCTTAAAGAGAATTGCAGAATCCAATTTCTGAGGATCTACGAGGCTCCAGCCTGGCCTGCTCATGAACTAGCCAGCAGCAGCCCTGCTATTTTGGAATAATCTCTGCTAGCTACTGTGAGGTGCAGAACCAGCAGGGCTTCACTCTGTCAACCCACACTGCATGAATTAACTGGAGTACAATGACTGGGACTGATCCAGCTAGACCAATCTGACAGCAGGAAGGAAAAGCAGCCCACTAAGACTCCTCCAGCCTGTTCAGAGGTAAGAGAGAAAGCTGAGCTTCCAGAGAGTGATGTTGAAAGATGGAAGGTGAAAGACAGACCTTTAGGGGATTGCCTTTTAAGGTTAAAATAATGGCACTCAGCAGGGGGCACTTGTGAGCAGAAGATGATGGCACATAGAAAGTCAATAAAAAAACTGAGAGGGTGAATAATTCTGTTATACACTCTATACAGGATTCAGAAAGCATTGAGCAGCTCCACACAAACTAGTTCTGCAATCTCCAAGTCTGACAGCTTCACAGAACTCCTTTTTGCTTACATATCAGAGAAGTATCCAACTAAAGCCAAGAAGTGGAAAAAAAAAGAGATAAAATTGAGGCTTCAGAAAGAAAAGGAGAGGGAAGTGAGAGGAGTGAAAGAGGAAGAATTTCTTACCAAGAACCAAATTCCAAACTGGCTCAGGAGGCGTTGGTCATGCTTGTCATCATCTTTATTATCAAAGTCTGTGTTGTCCAGGGAGTGATGGGAAGAGGATAGACCCATCTGTCTCCTGCGGTTGAGTTCATACTCCCTCTGCTCAGCATGAAACTCTGCTTCCTTCAGCAAGCTATAAAACAAGCTTGTGGTCAGTGAATGCAGCTTTCCTGCACTAGATACAGATATCTGATCAAGCATAACTAGAGGTTAAGGTATATGATTCATCATTTTCCTGAGAAGAGTAATAAAATAACATCAAATTCTAGTATTCAAGGCTGACTCCTTCCATGAGGACAACAGCCACAGCTGATCGGTACTCTGCTAATGCAGCAGGGGTTCAGTGCCCCTGCTCTGAATTTATCCTGGTGAAATTAAAATCAACTTGCACAAGATTTGCAGGCAATATTTACACGAAAGCCTGATCCTGCTTTACATATTGATGCCTCATAAGCCGCCGTATTACCTGATCACAGCTTCCACAGTGCACACAAGTTCCTCTGCCCCACACTCCCGAGTATTGATAGGGGGTGGTGAGGTCTGATAAAGATGGGTTTCTGCGGCTGCCCCAACTTCACTGCTGTGATGATTCGAATGGCATCTTTTGCAATAGCGCACTGGCCTGTTGCCATGGCGGCCACAGCAGCCCGCTGAGAAGCACGTGACAACAGCTCTTCTGACATGTGAACTACAGTTCTGGAAAATAAAAAAGATTTTATCAGGCCACAAGTATCAGGAAGTGGAACTGAAAACATGGATGAGAGTCAGCGATGGGGAACTGGCTCAAGTGTTGGTCATTTCCAATATCACTATATATAAGCACAACTGTGTGCTAACTCCTGATGCTAAGTGTCACTGAACTTCCAGAAAGATGAACTTAGGCCTAAATGCTGGGCCAGGACTTAAATGTCACGGTTGTTCTTCTTTTGGAGCATACCAAATCAACATTTAAGTCACCAACCTCAACTTTCTGGCTTGGAAGAATCTCTAAAATTTATAGTACTTCTCTTAACCCCTGCTTGTACTTCAGAATGTCTTTTTAAGTTACATGTAGCAACAGGCAGATCCTTAGGAGCGTAATCAATTGTGCCACATCAGTTTATGCTATGTAAGGATCTGCCTTATCATAGGAAACTGTCCAAGCCGCTGAAATATGTGCTACCTTTATTTTTGCCACCTGGTAATCCAGCCCAACATAAAAGCTTTCTTTACCACATAAGATCTAGAATATGTTATATACTGTATTCCTTATTATTAAAATGTTATTAAAACACACTAGCTGGTATGTACTGCAAGCAGATTCTTTTTGTCAGCAATCTTTTTAGAGCCAAGCACTGAAGACTTTCAGTCCATTTGTTTTTAAAAATACACAGTTTACAGTAGGATTTTTTTCCAATTTAGGATTAATCCAAGACTTCAAGGAGATGAGAAGATATAAACACTCAGATTTAAAATTAATCTCTTGCTCTACCCTCTTCATAAGCAGAGTTATAGAATAAAAACTGAGCTCAACTTCATAATTGAATTGCTTTGCTAATTGCCACTTCAACAAAAACCTACAACTCAAATAAACATCAGCAGTTTTAACAAAAAGAAACCTTGCTGCCGAAACATTCCCATCCACCAACAAGTGCATTCGTGGATAAATTGTGAAAATTTGGAATGTTACAAAAATGAACGCACCACATAGTAATGGAATGACACTACACACAACATCAATTCATGCCCCATCACACAAATGACTGAATCTTACCTTCTTCTGACATATAGCAGAAATTTCAGCTGTAAGGGGAAGGCATACAAAACATCAACACAGCATGACGATCCTTCTGTTTTACTATGGCAGCCATGGGAAAATGGACAAGCTGCAAGGAAGTCTCTGAGGCTAAACTTGTGTTTCCAGATATTATTGAAACCTCTACACCTATTGGACAGCATGAGGTAGGACACTGTATACTTAGGCCTATTGGCTATTTCTACACTGAAATGAAAGAACAGCACTGATGCATTAAGTGTGGTGTGCTCTGCATCCCCATCCACCTTCTGCCTATGCTTCAGCCTCACGGACAGACTTGTAAAAGTACACCTGTAGGCACACTACTGTGGCATGCTGTAAGAGACGTGGCTCAGATGTGCCTACACTGCCTGTGAAAGCTCGCAGGATGAAAGATTAATGAATACGGATGAACAACGTAGAAGCAGCCACTATCTGTGGCCCATAACTCCATAGTGAAATGTTTGCAGATTCAACCTGTAAGCAGTAGCTATTCAGTCTGTTGCCCTGGCAACATCTGATTCAGTAAATATAGGTGGCTGAGTAAAAAGAAGTACTTCCCTTAAGTAAATAAAACATTCTTAATCTGGATTAGATTTCAACTAAAAGGAGACAACAAAAAAATCTCCACTGCCTAAGAATTTTCAGTTTGCAGAACAAAGACAGAGGGATTGTCTTTGTTCTGTCCTTGAAAGGGTTATTTTAGAGAATATGTGACTGTCCTTGTAAACCCAGGAAATTCTGATTAGTCTGTCAACAAGCTTTGTCTGCATTCTGGTAGATAATAGAATATCAGGCTCTCTCACTGGCCAAGGGATAATGATTGGATCAATGACTGGATCATTGAAAAATATTTTATGTCCTTTTCTGATACCCTTTACAGACTTCTGTTCATTGAATAGATTTTCAGAAGCTTTAAGAGCTTTCGAATCAGACCCAGGCTACCGGAAAAACTAGCCCCTTTTTTTGGACACCGGTGTGGGACACACATACTTTTAAAAAACTTGGCCCCAACTGTGGATCCTTCAAGATTTGAAAATCTGTTCAGTTGTCTCTGCTTCCACACACATGAAGAGTATCATACTATTTCAGATAGAGGATTAGTCAATTTTTCATAGTACTTTAAGGACATCAAGCAATATTAAGTACAAGCTACTTTAAAAGTCTAAAAAATTCCTTTAGAATAGAATGCAGCATTTCAAGTAATATAGTATGCAGAAATATCACTAAGCACAGGATTGTACAATTATGATTAGTTTATACCTACCCTTAAAATACCTCTTACCTTGTGGTAGAAGAACATCAATCAACCATTCACTGTGATCCCTATAAAAATTGTATATCTAATTAGCTTTCCATTTTTTATTTACGCATTTATTTTTGCACAGACGAAATTTATCTAAATTAATGTTATTCAGAAGCTGCTTTTTTACAAATGTAGATCTATAAATTGCAGGCTGCTTTACATTACGTCTCTTTGTTCTGCCTGTCTTATTGCAAATTACCTCTTTGCTGATGTTGGTCCACCATGTTCAAGGCTTTCAAAAAATTAGTTTTAAATTTATCAAATTACAATAGTGTGTACTCTGAAAGTCTGATGGCTAAGAAAGGATAGTGAAGAATAACAGATGAACACAGAAGAAAAAAAAAAATGTACCAGTACTGTTTTCTGTGAGTCTCCTTAGAAGCTCTGCTTCTACCAAATTCAATTACTTTTTCCTGCAGCTTGAAATCAATGATGACTTAAAAATCTAAGGTGAGATGTAATTGCTTTTCCTACAGCTGGTGTGATATAAAGGTGTCTTAAACTGGGGATGAAAAAACCCATGTAGCTTCTGAACTACCTGTAACCTTGTCCATTTGAACGAATGATTGGAACTCCCCATAAGTGTTAGTAGATCTTGTAAAGTAATGCAAACCAAATCAGCAATTTTAAAAAAATAAAAATAAAATAATAATAATAAAAAAAGAATAAGTGAGGTTAATTCATCTCAGGCTATATTCCTTCCAGGTAATGGACAAGCCTGGACAAATTTCAATTCTTTACTCTGCTGCTTCACAGTATACCCTAGAGAATAATCTGAAATACATGTTACAGAAAAGGAATAAAGTCTCTGTGAAAGAGCTTTCATTGTAATGTCCCACTTTTAACAACAACTAAAGGATGAGGAGAAAAAACGTTTCATAAGCAAAAGTTTGTAGATTAATAAGGTTCCCCTATCATAGTCAGTGCATCCCACAGTATCTATTCATTCAGAGATCTTAACTTTAAAACTCACTACTGTTCAAGCTAGATGCAAATGCCTACCATCTGGGGTAAATTTCTGTAATCCTTATTCATACTGAGTGGCAGTGTGCTTCATACATTTCAACAGGGTTATCTATATAAATTATATACTCATCATATGGAAATAAAGCATAACTCCAGAGTTCCGGACTCTGGAACCTGACTATACCTGATCATCTTCCAACTCTTAGTTTACCTACCCTGCAATTCTCTGGCTGCATTCTTCACAAAGATATAGGGGAGGTGGCTTATCACCCAAAGCCACAGACAAGGATGGGTCAATGCACATCTGAAACACAGAGAAGGAAAAGAATTAACACATCTGTTTATTGAAGTTCACTGAGAAAGTTCAGCACATTAATGCTAGGACATACAATATAACACAGCTTTGATATGTGCTGAGAGCATTTAGTATTCTGAAAGATGGTACTCAGCATCTGACAGTACAGGATCTTAAATTATTTCTAACAAAGAGTGGGGTATAACTGAAAATGAGAGCCTATGGGAAGAGAACAGGACATATTTCAGTATCAGTATTATCACTCTCTGAAAGACAAGTATATTAGTATATTTTGTGTTACACATGTACATTGCATAGTCAAGATAGACTTACTTTTTATTTTTTTCCAAAGAGACAGTCCCTTAGAGGATCCATTGCTTAGGACAAGATAATGAAAAAGTCTAGATTTTTCTCTCTCAGTAACACCTCTTCCAGCAAAATCTAATTTCAGCTATCATAGTTGTTAACTATACAGCACAATTCCAGTGAGAGAACGAAGACTATGGACCCACAGTTCCCTTGGCAGCACAGGTACAAACTTTGTCTTGCATTAGCTTTTATCCTTCCACATTAGCCAGTTACAGAAAACAGTTACCGGCCAGTTACATACACATTTGGTTAAGTGTTTTGTACTATTTAAGTAAAAGCTGAACAGTGGTATGTATACACAATATCTTAACCACTTAGACCAAAATGTTTCTTACTCCATCCAAGTGCAAGATCTTATTTATAAAGACAAATACCTCTTTGAATGTTTCTCTTCTTTGTTAACCAAATTTACATTCATCTATCCCAGAGACAAGAGGCTGCTTTTTTTCTGAGTGATGACTGATCAAGACTGGTTCTGTCAAAGTTAAGCTAAAAGATCATTCAAAAATATTCAGGTATTTCATCTGCAAAGCTTGGAACTGTAAATTTCATTGATATTTTGCTCTACTCAGTGATTAGTCTGAATCTAGTGATCACTACAACATGAAGCAACACCTTCCAGCTTTTTTTCCTATGAAAAGGGATCATGGAGAATGATTGGAGTGTGCAGGAAAGCGGTCCCTTGCAGGACTTGTGAGATAGATGTCAGCATTATGCCCTATCAGTATCATAGCCTGTGGAAAAGGCTCACTGAAGAACTGTTTGACTAATGTAATTATGTTAGTATATGAATTGATGCAAGGAAAATTGGTTGTATCTACATATTTAACTAGGTACAAGCTAATTAATTAGTACACCTAACTGTAGTATGGACTTGGGGTGCTGTTCTTGCCTCTGCAATCAAATTGCGCTATGATCCTGGTCAAGCCATTTTAGTTTGTTACCCTGCATGTAAACAGGAAACATATAATTTACCTCCCTCAAAGAGGGCTGTAGAAGAGGTAAGTCAAAGCTTTTGGACATATTCCAAGCAAAGGATCGCAATCAGAGTAGGTGCATTGTGTGACCTCAATTAAGATACCAAAGTGAATATGTACCTATGTAATTGATATAATGCTTCCTGTATATAGTAATATTTGTGCACATATTTACACACATATGTGTTCAGGAAAACATTTACATGGATTAGCCAGGAGCCAGCTTAGAATTTTATAAAGTGCTCTGCAACCATCCTCATGTTTAATATTAAAACTTGGCCCACAGTAGTTGGAGTAAATATCCCATCTTGCTTTAGGCAGCCAAAAAACATATTCACAAACTTCTGGCCCCCTTGGTCTCAACAGACTTTACTGTTCCCTTATCTCCTGCACCTGCACACAACCAGAGCATATGGCTGGGGTCAAAGTGCAACCTCCCATCCCCCAGATAGTTGGGTTTGACCTCTGAATAAATAGCAGTACCTTCACAGCTGGTTTGTTAATCGCATTATGGCATTCAATGTGCTGGCAATGAATAGGATTCCAGGCTGCAAACCCAAAACACAGCTGATTAATAAATAGAGAAAATATATTTACATTCTTTGTGTGTAGTGGTAACAATTGAGAACAACATCCTCTTGTACTAAGTACTATACAAATATGAAAGAAGACCTAGCCATTCCTCAGGAAGCCTAATAATTACAATAAACAACCTAGAATATATATGCCTACTGACTTGTTTGGGATATAATTATGAAATGAACCATGAACTCAGCAAAGACATGGAAAAAGTAAGACGCAGACACCCCCACTGTAGACCCTTCCTGAACTCACCAACACCTTGAATTAATTAATTACCCTTCCACTCCAGGAGCAGGATGGTAGGAGTAGCTGAGTAAATTCAATAACGTTCCCAGGCAAAATGAAAACACAGCTATGATAAAGGAAAAATAGTCCAGCCACAGAAGGAGCCTTAGCTTTGTAATGACAAGAAGTAAACAACAAAGGTATGTTCAAGTAGCATCACCTGGATGCTATACGGGATGCCCCCAGGTCAAAATGCCATGCAACTGCAGATAATACTCATCCCATTCTGGGATACATTAACAGAAAATTTATATATAGGAAAATTATTCCAGTCTACCCAGTGCTAGTAATGGTTCAGATGGAGTATCATGCTCAGTTTACAAACCGGCTTGCATGAGGGAAGTGATACAGAGCAGTACAAGAAGAATGATTTTTAAAAAAAGTCAAGAAAATCTATCAACCCTTCAAGGGAAGGCTTTAGAACAGATCAGACAAACATGTATCAGGAACATTCAGGATATACTTGAGTTGGTCTAGGGGGTCTTCTAAGGTCTCTTCCAATCTTTCATTTTTATTATTTAAAATGTTGCATTCTGGTCCAGAAATTTTAAAAGTGAACAAAACTTATCCCATATGACAGAGATAATTTGAAACAGGTTGAGACAGGCTAGCAGGAAAAGCAAGTCATGAATTGCTGCTGGACAGTCCCCACTGTAGAAGCACAACCCCATCAGTATCACTGGGGAGTCTGGTGGACAGCGGACTTTGTACCACCCACCTACTCAGCTCCAGCTGCATTGCTGACTTTGTCTCTCATTTTCACCCTATAGTCAACCTTGAGAACTTATCCATTATACTGACTGCACCTGACATCACCTGACTTTTTTTGACAGTAACAGCCAGATAAGGAGTCTTAGCAACAGCAGCAGTGATAGCAGCTGGCACAACAAAAGCAACCAAAGCAGTAATTGAAAGGAACGTAAGCCAGAAACCCGCCAGGCCAAGGCGGCAGTTTCACAGAACATTTGGCATACTGTATTTATTTCTTCCCCTGCTGTGGTTTAGTTAGTATCAGGAGTAACACAATGTATTTACTAGCCATGATCACAGTTTTTATTTTTCATAACATGTTTTGAAAATACAGAGAAATGGATATTGTATATACTTATCGAACAAAAGATTTCAAAATACACTGTAGAACTGTAAACATGTGACTTATGATCATTTCCTTTATATTTATTTTGGCCTATACAAAACAGATGCACTGACCTGTGTACTGCAGTCCTCTGTACTCACTGATTGCCCCAGGGGGTTTTAAATTGGGCCAATAGTGAAATAACATTTGTACCGCTGGAGGTTTAACTTGAGATGGTCCATAGGCTATCACATATAGCAAATCCTAAGGAAAGACACGTACAAAATGTTTATTTTGCAACATAACAAAATACAATTTAACATATATTATTTGTGTTCAAAGATACCTGAACACACAAAATATACACATTTCATGCCCTACCAAACATCCTTTGTACGCTCTTACAAATGATGACTAACTTCAACATGTTCACAACTGGCTTCTGAGTTTGATTGGAGCATCCAACTGCTACCACCCACCCTGCATAGCATGCTAACATATAGCAAATGAAGCCTCTGTCTAGCCATGGAGCAAAGAGGTGTGATATAGATAAATAATTGGATCCAGACCAGATTCAGGCTAAGACAATACTCACAAATAGTCCTCATAAAAGTTCAGTCCAACACGAAATGAGAAGATCGGTCATTATTAAAATTTCTGCTAATTGGAGCCACAACCACATAGTACTTAGGAAACAGAGCTGCTCTGTTCTACAAAACATGGAGCTGCTTCTGTAAACTAAAAAGCAGAGGGACCTTCCTCTCCATAATCCAGAAGGAGGACTGGATACAAAGATCATTTATAACTTCTTGGCACACGGTCAGTTCAATTTTCAAGCCACCTGGTTTTCATTACTATCCAAATACAGTCATTTCCACAAAGTATATATGATCATAAACTTACTTTCCATACTTCTTGCTTATATTTCATGAGGCATTCCAATAATTGGCAGTGATACACTGAGAGAGAAAAGACAGTATAATACTGAAATGGAAACTCAAGTTACAGAAGTGACGTAATTAGCTGATTGGCTTTGCTTTGTCTGTCCAAAACTCTACACCTCATTTAACTACTTTTTATTTTAAAGGGTTTGCTGAAGAATCATTGCCCTGACAGTCATCACAAAAGATTAGAAATTAAATATTAGTAATTTGTTTCTGTCAAGGAATGCAGTAAGATAATGAGTATTATGAATGTACAGCTTTTTGCACAGCAATGGAGATCTTTTTCAAACACATTTAGTTTAAGAATACCTGCTAATTCACTTAAACTTTGTCTCTCTGGCACAATGTAAAGCTATAAATGGGCATCTTGTCATTCACCTTGAGGCAGTAATGGAAGTCACATGTAACAATACATTATTCCCATGTATACCAAAGGCTATAGGAGCCACTCTGCATCAAACAAACATGAGATCCAAATGAACTACTTTACATGTCTGACTTCCCTAAAACCACAGGGCAACATTTTCCTCAGATGGCTGGAACATGGAATTCACAAACAAAAATAGAATATTTAATGAAAAAAAAAACTTGTGCAAGTAGCTTTTAAAAATAGTGTGCTGCTTTTATTTACCGCTGTGAACTACATTAGCATGATGTGACACTTCTCACGCACATACTGTAGTGTGGGGCTCCTCCCTACACACACCATCTCCACATCTACATAAAACGGGAGATAGTTGACTATCGTGCAATGTAATAGCTCCCTCAGGCTAGATTTTGTTTCTATTTGGTTATGTGATCCCACTGATTTAACTGGGACTGCGTCACAGTGAGAGAGAACGGCCTTGTGTTTAGATACTTATAATTACATTTAAATTTATTATAGTTCTGTTGAGCCTGCAGCCAGCATTACCTGTCTTCTTTAAAAAATAATATCAGTTGTGAAGTTGGTGCGATATGAATCATAGTATAAGTCAAACTGTTACTATGAATTTCTATACTCAAAGTTAGTGGTGATTTGTCTCCAACACTGATGTTACATATCAATGCTATTTTCTGATGTCAAGCAAGAGTAGACCAGAATCTCCAATCCTGGGCCAAAACCTATTTCTTCATCACAATGAGACCTCTTATCTACATAATGATTACTTCAGGCATGATGCTCAGAAATTCCAGTTTTGACTAAAATCATTTATTCTTCATCCTGTGTTGGATGGTGAGACAGATTTTTCCCATCACCTGAACTTTTCCGATTGCATTTGACAAAGTACTTCATGACTGATAGTTTTAGAGAGAATGATACCATGTTGCATATTTACACATACCCGGGTTTGAGGTGTACTGCATTGCAATCATTAGCATTGATGATGCAGATAGATTGACATGTGCTGGAACACCTTCTCTTTTTGAGGATCCCACTTGAAAGAAAGGAAAAAAAAAAAAAAGAAAACATTTTCTATTGTATAACAAGGAAAATTAGGTGAGAATAGCATATAACTGATTCCAGCTGATGCAAATAAAATTCCTAAGATACCATGTCATTAAAAAAAACCCCAAAGCCCCCCAAAAACTAGAAATACTCTGTATTGGAGGGGGTGAAACTCCCTTTTCTGCTGGAACAGAAAGATGACTAAGAATATGGTATTGCTTCACAGAGCACACATCTGGTTTTCCAGATCAGTAAGATTTCATTCTCAGAGCTGCATTAACCAAAGACAGTGATCTTCTCAGGCACATTCCTTCAGAACCCACAGACTGGTCAAAACAATGTCACTTGTATAGTCAAGTGCACCTCGGGCTTGGATTGTAGGAAAGATAAGGAGGAAGTGGAGGGTAAAGAAATAAGAAAAAATGGAAAGCCTGCTGTTGAGGTATACTGCTGAAGGGTTGGGGCTGGTGGTAGCTGCTGGTTGTTGGTGTATGGCACAGATTACTTCTCAGGGAGCACATGGTATGAGTTCAAGTTATAGCTACAAACCAGAAAAATTAGCCCCCCTTGTTATGTGAACTGTGCTAAGACAATGATAAACAGTAGCACTGAAGTGTAGCTAAGCTGTTGTAACTTTGACTTCGCACATGAAGTGGCTAGAGTTCCTTCTGGTCTCCTACGAAGTGGTTACTATGAAATGGTATACTTGGAAAAACCCTGCAGAGTGTAGGTGTTTATTTGCTGAACTATAACATGGCAATATGGCTTTGAAGGCAACCTCCTACAGAGAGATGTGGCGTGCATCTTCCCCATCCTCACTCACAGCACTTTCCCAAGCTTGGCTGCCAGGACCCAAATTCCAAGCATTTGGGATAGAAGCACAGAACTGTAGCTACCAGTTCAGTGAGATGCTTTCATCCCTCCCATGTGGCTCTCCAGCTGCTTACACAATCTCTTTCATCCTCCCCTTTGGTTTGATTCAAAGCTGAACACTAGGGGAAGGTAAGGTTCTGCACTCGCCTTGTAGAGGGGCAGATCATTCTCGGGGAAAGACTAGGACACTAATTAAAAGAGCACTCAACTGGAAAAGAAGGAGGGAAAGGAAAATGGAGAATTTCTCTCTTCTATCTGGTACTTCTCCACATGACCCAACAATACTATGGCTCTCTTCATTGCACTTCATTCACTCTTTTTTGAATCTCATCCACACACATAAGAGCCCCCAGATTATCACAGCAACATCTATTTGTATGGATTTAAATTGCAAAATACTCAGCAGCTCTAACCTGGCAATCAAAATGTGGCCATCAGCAGAAAAGCAGGTTACAGTACTAGAAGCCAAATGTAAAGAGCAGCAGACTGGTTTCATACAGAGATCTAACCAAAACTGTTTGAGGAAAAAGGCAGCATGACAAAGGTTGCTCCCATGCTCTACACAGATGCAATCTCTGCCAAGGGCAGTTGGGGAATAGTATCTATTTAAGTAAACCAAGGATTTGGCTCAATCAGTTGTTTTGGAGAACAGTTTTACAGATCTGAAGATAGACAGGAAAGGATAAGTCACCCACATCAGCAGTTCTTTAACAGATAACAGTAATGGAAGAAAAAGGAGTTTAATGCAACATTCTGTTCTTAACCCAAAGGGGATCTATTGCACATATGTATGAAATATATAAATATATCTTAGTAATTTTCATTTGCATACTGTTATTAGACATGTCAAAGGTAACAGAGAAAACATCATGGCAATGTCTTACAAGGGACTATTTTACATGGGGAAACTGAGGTACAGAAGAGTTAAGGGATTTCTCCAAGATCACTGACTGGTAGAGCCAGAAAATGTAGGTGATAATTTCCATAAAATCTTAATCTCAAAACACTGGACCATGCTTCTTTTCACATTCTAACAGCATCTTCTACATGCTTAAATGACATCAATCTCTGTACAAAGTTGTTCATATTTTTCCATAAAGGTCTGGAATACAGATAAGGAGGAGACATTCTCACAGAATTGCAGGATGGTTGATGTTAGAAGGGACCTCCGGAGATTCTCTTGTCCAACCCCCCTGCTCAAAGAAAAGCCAACTAGACCAGGTACTCAGGACCTTGTCCAGCTACGTTTTGAGCATCTGCTAGGATGAAGAATCTGCAACCTCTCTGGCAAACTATTCCAGTGTTTGGTCACATAGTAAAAAGCTTGCTGCTTAAAACTGACTTGATCCTAATGCTTCCATCTGCAGAACATGGTTAAATTTCTCGCTACTACTGAATCCCATCAAGTTTTCTATCAGGTACATAGACGAGCATTCAGAACACACCTCAGGATTCACATTCTGCAGGGATTATGAAATTATGTAATCATGTGACACCCTCGGTGCGGGGGGAAGAAAAAAGGAAGAAAAAAGGCAGGTACTGTCAGATTCAGTCTTAACACTTACGGATAGAAGACATTACAGGCACAGCTATTTAGTACAGAACTTAAAGAGAAAATGCTGAGAAGAGAGGGAGGGAGAAAAATTGGAAATTCATGACATCATTACATTGAGAAGAGTCATTCTTGTACATCCCGATTTAGTCCAGATGCAAAAATTACGCACGTTGCTATTGCATCTATCGTTTCAGGAGCAGTTTGTCCATTGATTCTCTATTCAAAACTCCCACTGCGGACACTAAAAGTTCTACGAGTCTAAAACCAGCATATTTCTTAAAGAAGCTAAACTTCACCCTTTAAATGAAGGAAGAATTCACACAGTAACAGAGCATAATAAATAAATAAAAATTATAGAATTATTTCCCTTTGAAAAATAGTCACAGGGAATTATTTTACATAAATGCATACAGTAGATTGATGTCCCATTACAATTCTATGACAGATCAAACTTTGACTTCTACAGTCTGATACTATTATAGCAATGCATCATGTTTTCTGAGACATAACAATACTAGAATGAGTTCTACTTACATATAGCCATAGGCAGAAAAGATGTGCTGAGATACTCTATAATATCCTTATGCAGAAATGGAGGAAAGGTAGCTAGTGTTGAAATCATTGTATAGGGTAAAGTACTCAAAATATCATCATTGAGAAAAGGAAGTAAGCATGTAGTAGTGTAAAAAATTGATTGCCCAAGATCTGTTGAATAAAATGAAATAAATACAGAATCATTACAATGGAAAAATAATTATGACTATGTACTTTTTAGTTTACAAAACTACAAAAAAAAAAAGATTACATTTACATTCAAGTTTTCCCCCCCAATGTAATTTGGGAAGTTAATCACTATAGACAAGAGACTTCACCCATCATTTTTAAGCCTCTCCTAAAATAGAGGGAAACAGCTGTTCAACAGTACTCAGAAGAGTTTGGAGGGAATATGAATACTACAGCCAGTAAAATCATTGATTAAAATCAATGTTGATTTTAATCATACAGTAATTAACATACAGTGGCCTGCATTTAAGCAGTTATTAGAATCAGAATTTGATATGCACTTTAGTATTGAAAGGCCTGCTTTTGCAAAAAGCATTCTAGTCTTCATCAGCCATAGAAAAATAAGATTTTGATCTTAATTACCCTCAAAAGAGCTGCAAAGTACCCCCCACAAAGAGACTACAGGAAGCATCACTGTATTTTTCAAGCACTGTATTTTTCATGTGATTAAACTACGGATCTTGTTTTCCTGGGAAGCCACTGAGGCCAAAAATGGCCAAGGCTTAAAAGGAAAGGAATATTTATCAAGAATTTCCATACTTACTCTAATTAATTATACTACAACTCTTCGGAAGGGATACTTAAGAAATGTGCAACATTTCAAGATCCAAAAAGAAGGGATAGGTTATTGTGTATCTGGGCACTGTGGCATCTCCATACCCTCTTCTACATGAGGAATTGAGCTGGGGCCAATAACCCTCTGAGAAGGCACCCAATGAACCCCAAGTTTGAACCTGTATGATGATCCCAATGCATCATAAGACCTTTCACCTGCGTGAGAGGGATTCCTTCTGTTACTCACTCTGTAATGTTAAGTATGTGACAGAGGCCTTCACTCTCATCTGTACAACTAGGATGTTTTAAAACTGCCTCTGTGTAGTGCTCAGAGATCTGTACCTGTAAACATTATGAGTCATAGTAAGAATTAAAATTAGCACTCCATTTCAGTGGTTGTGGCAAGTCTTCTATGCAAGGGTCTAACCAGACCCTTAATGCTATAGAGTGTTTTTCTCTTACAATACATATTTACCAGCTAAGCATTGAGAGTTTTGTATCATCTGATTGGACCAAAGCTCAGGACTGCCTAGCGCACCAGTTGTACTTACCCAAACAACATTGATTGTTCTGATAGAAAAAAATATATTTCTTTTAGTCAAATGTTAAGCTGAAGAGAAATAAATAACAAGTTGTATTGCAAAATTTAATTCTCCGTATACAAAACCATAGAAAATAGCAAGTGACCTCCCCTTGCCCCAAGCATGAGCCAATCAAATTATTCCTGGCAGATAATTATCTAAACTGTTCTTAAAAATATGCAAGACAGCTCACTCCTCCTCCTGGCAATTCATCCTAGTGCTTAACCATCTTTATCATAAAAAGGCCTTTTCTTTTTTTTTTTAAATTTCCATTGCTGCAGCTTAAGCCTATAACGTCTTATCCTGATCAACTGTAACCACAAATAGTTTGATTTAGTTTATTATTTCTCCTCACAGCAACCTTTACATAATTGTATATGATAATCATGTCTCCCTTCCATTTTTCTCTAAGCTAGACAAACCAATTTCTTTCTGTTTTTCCTCACTGTTCACATTTTCTAGACCTCAAAACATTCTTGTTTCTTTTTCCTGGACACCTCCCAAATGGTCCATGTCTTTCCTGAAGCCAGATGGACAAATCTGAAAATTTTACTTCAGCTGAGGCCTTGCTAGGGCTGTTAGAATGATACACAAAATGCTTGGGTGTCTCATACACAAAACATCTGTTTACACATTGCTAGAATAATATTAATATATTAGTGACTTATGGTCTGCCTCTGATCTACTGTAACACCCAGATCTCTGCAGTATGGCTTTCAAGCTAGTATTTCCCCCATTTTGTTTTTGCCTGTAATTTCTCCTGCTTAAACATAGTATTTTACATTTCTTCTTTGAAGATGTTTCAAAACAGAATGCAATTTGCCAAGATTGTTTTGAATCGGATACCTTTCACACAAAGGACATGCTATTCGCCATCTTGATAACCCCTGCAAATCAAAGTGCTCTCTCATTTCTATCAGCCAAGTAAAAAAATTAAAATATTTAATAACACTAAACCCAGCACAGACTCCTTTAAGATTCCCACTTGGTACACCCTTCCAGCTGACAAGAGCCACTGGTAATTACTCCTGGAGTGTTTTCCTTACTCAAGTGGGGACCATATGTCCCAGATTGCCTATTAGGATGTCAAGTGACACAGCAACAAAAGCCTGACTAAGGACAGGAAAACCCTGCCAGGAGAGCCATTGTGCTGCCATAAAAGGAAATTATGTTTGCTCAATGTTATTTGTTCTTTAGAGGTCTCCATTGGTTGTTAATTATCACCATGTTATCTATTTAGAAAAAGATTGTTTTGATAATTAACTCCACCATTTCTAGAAATTGAAGTTAAGTTGACAAGTCTATAATTTGCTAGGACCCCCCCTCTTGCAAGATCATACCATTTCCTAGTGCAGTAGTCTGGTTCAAAACATGCTGCTGCCAACTCAAAAGGAATTCAGCATTTAACAGAAACAACTTTCCCCCTAAAGAATTTCAGCAGTATATCAGATTGACAACCTTCCTATACTGAACTATAAGTAATACACCCTGATACCATGGTGAAAATTAGTATTAGGCTTATGTAATATAGGGAGAACACTGGGTTCCTGAATCCCATTATGGAAAGCCACAGACTAACAAGCTCCATGTATGCAGAACTTGAAAGAAAACAATATAAATACAACAGTCACAAAAAAAAAATCTTGTGATCAACTAGTTCAAAACATAAGAAAATACAGCTTTTCTGTAAGTTAGACAGAGATATTGCCATCTTTTTACCCAGGAATATTTTAAAGCCATCTCAAATCACCATTACCATGGTTTTTCTTCAATTAAATATATACTATGTTCTATTTAGAGATGGACCTTCACCAAAACACTCAATCTGCATATTCGTTATAGGCCAGATATACACTTGCAAGCAATCTGTGCCTTTTTAAAGAGAGCCACCCCAAAAAGACCAGTCTGAAGATATCCCAGCAAATTCAAATTCAAAATCCTGATTTTTTTAGACCCATCTGTATTGGTTTTCTTACATACCATTGTATTTTAGTCACATACCACCAGCATATCACTAAAAATCAGACAACCTCAGAATTCAAACCCAAATCCACAGTTAGTAAAAAAACATCTTTTATTTAAGAAAGTCAAACCAAACACTTGGATATAAACGTATCCCAGGAGATTTGAATTCCAGATCCAGGTCAGTTTAGGCCCATCTCTTCTACTGCATTTATGCATCATTCATGGATTCACAGCACTGAAGTTAAGCGTACTGGAAGAGTTCAAGGGCCTGCTTACCATGTTGACCATGTTGTAGCAAGGGAACTAGATCCAGCAGTGTCACCAGTGTCACGTAAAGTCCTTGATAGTCCAAGGATGGGTAGTCTGATAACTGAGCATCACGACTTTGCTGGCCACGTTCAGATGGAGCATCTCGCAGGACGCTGTAAAGGAGGGAGCGAGTAACAGTAGGGTTGATGGAACTGACCTGTGGTCTTAGAGATGGGGTGAGTGGGAATGGCACAGGAAAAAGACACATGGTCATGGGCACTGTCAAATTGGAGGCATCTTGATTCTCCTTCTTCCCTGTGCGGGACAAAATGCTGTTGGGGGGACAAAGAAAAAAAAGAGACAACAAAGACACAAAGAACAGCACATTACATTGAAATGACACTATAAAACAAATAATAAAACACCAGATACATCCCACATAAGATGCAATTGCTACCAAAACCAGTGTGTCTACAAATCTAGCAACCATTCACTTTCATGCTTCAAGATGAGAGAATTCAAAATTGACATCTAGGAAAATTTCATTGCATCTCATGTGTTATCTGGTTCATAAGGAGCAAAAATATAAAAATGCATGTTTCAGTGCCCTACCCATGTTTCACAGTTAAGAAAAATTCTGAGAATTAAAAGTGTTTGCTATGGAAAAATAGCTATGTCAAAATAGGCTGGTATTTTGCTCTGAGATTTTGAGAGATTTATTTCCCCCCCCCCCATAATCTTTTGAAGCAACTGACTGAAAACATGCAAAATATAGGTGTGGCACTTGCAGAAACATGTTTTAGCAAAGAATAAACATGTGTGTTTGTTAAGATAGTCTTAAAAATCACATGTTTATTGCATTAAAATAATGTCTGTATGTATTTTATGATACTGTTTCATGACCACTCACTCAGTATCATTTGAGATAATGAAGTTTAAACAGGCACATGGATTTAGAAATAATACAATATTTCTAAAATGTTAACTAAACTACATTTGGAAAAGTTATAAAATAATATATAGTAGATGGTCTTTAGCATATGTTTGTGAGCTAATGATAATGGTTGTTTATGTGTGTTTTTAATTTTGCCCATGTTTAGGGAGGAAACATTTTACTTTATGAATACAAACACTCCTTGGGTAAATAGTTACCTTTAAAAATCTAAGGGCTAAGCAAGCAAGACCAATTATGTAACTGCAGATCAGACAGTATGTTACCATACATTAAAAAAACTGTTACTTACGTTATTATTCAACAAAACTCACTATAAACTAAAGAAGACATAATTTCAAAAAATGAAAAGGATTTAGTGGGAATCAAAATAGAGGCTATACGTCAACCAGCTTGTTATGTCGTTTTAAGAATGTTGTAAACTTGTTAATCTAATTTATTAAAAAAAAAAAAAACCACTATTTTAAATAGAAATAAATTGTCACTTAAGCAGTGTTATATTTTAGCTATCAGGCAATTATAGGGTTAGTTCATAATCTTCATATGTGCCTATAAAATATAATACACCTTCTAAATATATTAAACCACACACAATGTCTTTTTTTTTAAAGCACGTTTTGCACCACTCAGTGGTTGGGATTTCCAAAAGCAGTTGCTATTGGTTTAACTCTGTTCCCAAAGTCAGTGTTAAAACTTATAAAAGACAAGTCAGTGGCATTAAAATTTCCCCTGGCTAATGAAGAGCAGAGTTATGTCAAGAGGGAGCACTTCTGGAAAACTCCGTCCTCTTTAACAGTACATAAATCCCTACTGTATAATCACCTTAGCACAGATATATCTTACCTCACAAGTCAATTCAACAATTTACACAAGTATACTAAATTCTTGCAAAGGTGCTTATAAGAGAAGGTGTCATTCATTTGCCATATATATAAAACACTTCTACAAGTACAGTTCTATGCCAAGTGGCTACTATCACATCACACTTGCAATCAGAGATGACAGACATAGTCTGTTTTAAGAAACTACATACTTTTTTTTTTCCTTTTTTATTGTGCCTTACATATTTGGCAGATTATTTTGGTTTCTGTTACCCAATGTCCAGTACAAGAAACATGGTGACTGTCATGACAGTGTTTATAAAATTCTATCAGAAAATCGCCTAAGATCTAGTATGACTTTAAAAACAAATGATCAGAGTGCTGATTCCTTTTAATTTGCTTGATGTTCATTTGCCGTACTTTGCAGCTCATGGTTAGAGATATGAAGGTACTAAATTATATTCCTTCCCCATTAACCAACAGATTATATCAATTACCCATCCCTTTACTTGCCAACACATCACTTCAAGTGCACTTATTTCCAGAAAGGATATGACTGAATTAATTAATCCTTGCTTTGGAAATCATAAGGCAGTGATGGAGAGCTTACACTATAGGCTTCCCTTCCTTTTAGCACGGAGCTATGGCCCACCTATGGATTAGAGGCCAAAGCACACCGTCTTGTATCTTGATCAGGGCATCCTTCTGTTCACTTCAGGAACAGCAATGAGACCGTATCTAAATTCCAGCTATAAATTGGAAAAAAAAACCCAAAACTTTCAGACCCAGGCTTTTGCCTGACCCATATGTTTTAAAAGCAATAAACAGAAGAGTCAAAACTGAAAATCTAGAAAGCCCCCTAAGACCAAGATACAATGACTGCGGTTTGCTCCTGTTTCTGTACAAACCATGTACTGAGAACCTGGAGTCTCTGCAGATCATGACTCCATACTGAACTTGCGCCGTGACAAGTGACAAAGTCACCAGGGCTTGTTTCAGTATTTGTACATCTTTGCTGCAAATCTATCCCAAAATTACTGCCTTCCAGGAAAGGTTTCCTAAAATGCCTACATGAGAATTGCATCTCACCAAGGCAGCAAAACAAGCCTGACCATTAATTGGCCACTGGGCATTTATAACTATTCCTTATGTAAAACATTTTACTTAGAAATACATATGGAGAATTTTCTCCAAGAAAATGTGAAAGAATGAGTCGTTCTGCAAGATGTTTATTAAGTCTTAGATCATTCCTCAAATGAGGGAGAAAACACTGAAAATGAGCAGGGCATGAAACAAATTCATGCTGTAATGTAAAGAAATGCTTTTGCTCAAAGAGAAAATTAAGGAAGAACTAAATGAATCAATGTGCTATGCATTGTGTATGGTGATTTTATGTGATGTTTGTTCATAGAAATAAGAAATTCAATTTTTTCAGCCATTCCACATCTGTTCCCCCCACCCCGAGCTTGTGATTTATTGAGGCTATGTACAGAGCAAAGGAGCAAATTAATCCCTCGTGCGATCCAACTATAGCTAGCAGAATGACACCAGATATGAATGTGATCCAAAACAGTGGGCATGCCCCACTGAAAAGAACACAGTCAATGTGTCCATAACATGGAAAGGTAAAAAGTATAACAAACTGTAAAAGCTACACCTGTAAAACCCAACTATGATATGGAATTTCTCTGACTCATCACTATTCCCCCATTATTCCTTTGACTACATATGTTCATCAAGAAATGTTTATCCTAAAAAATTCAGCTGCAAAGAGAGTACACATCAAACTGGGAAATATTTTTTAAAGTTATTCTAAAATAGTAGATAATCACAAGCAAACTATTCTTAAGACCAGATCCAAAATCTCCAGAAATCAATAGGCATTTTTGCTAGTTTGATCAGTATTCTCTTAGCAGCCCAAATTCATTGCATATGCTCTGTCTCAGGCTAGAAAGATTATTCTCCACTATATCCTTCTATCATTGATGTTAAACCTTGCACAATGGAGTCTCAGTGTAGGAGGCAGAAAGAAGACTTAGCATGCAAAATATTCAAAGAAATTTCTGAACACGCTCTTCAGAAAGGTTCTTAACCAGCCTGTTTAGTTTTAGGGTAAGTCTTGTAGAGATCTGCACACAGTGGGTGGGAGTTTCCTTCTTTCCATCTGCCACACTAAATACAGGGTGTGTTTTGTTTTGCTTTTTTATCCAGCTTCTTTCTTAGTATCAGCAAGTGTATAAATTTACACTGGTTCAACCATAGCACTCAGGCTTTGACCCACAGTTCAAATTCCCCAGTTACGGGGATTTAGGATGTGATTTGACCTTGCTGAGTATCAGAACTCAGCCCAGTTAAATTCAGATACAAGTTTTGGCTTCAATTTCTGGTGCCCTTTTAGCTCTGAGGCTGATCAGATCCCAGATCATGAAGGACAAAGCCATTTGTGTAGACCTGCATATCAGATATGAGTATCACTTCTGCCCCATGAGGTTCAGCATTATCAACAAGAGGATTTTGGTTCAGTCCCATTCTGAACATGAAATAAAGAAAGGGCATTGCTCAATTGTACAATTGCTGCCCTGATTTCTTGTCTGCTCTCATAGTTGGTAAGTATAAAGCTTTTTCAGCAAGCCCAGAAACATCACTGCTCATGGAACGTGAAGAATTTGTCACACAGGACGTCAGCTGTACTGCTTAGAAAGATGAAGACAACAGGGTGGTAAAGACACTTTCTTTAAGCAGCAGACTCTAAATCCATCCTGTCCCAATGGACTTCTGCCCAAAAAGAAACAGATCTCCTTATAGCACCTGATAGTTACAGCTAAGAGAGAAAATGTTCAGAATCAGTTCTACTTTCTTGCTCTAAAGGCCCACAGCATTTAAGCAGAGGCTGTTTTGTCATACAGAACCTTACTTAAATGTGATTTAAGTGTGTGCATTGTGCAAATAATCCATCAAAACAGCGTGATGTGGGAAAAGAGCCACATTTCAGAGGTAACTTCAGTGACTCGTTGAACATGTTTTTCCCACTGCTGCAATACAATGAGACAAAATCTAATTTATTAATCTTAAAAAAAAGCCCTACTAGTTGCCATAAGTTTCTTCAACACTCTAAATGATGAGGGAAACAAATTTCACAGTGGTTAAACAATTCTACTCTTGAAATTTTGAAAAGAGGAGGTTTTTAGCTTTGCAGCGAACAGGTGTTCCATTGATAATGAGTATTTCTGTCTATGTGCTTTAAATGAATGTTAGAATGAACTACTGTTATTCTTTCAAGTTTAAATTCTTGCTTCTCAACTTGTATACATCAAAGGGGTATGTGTACAAATATATGGGTTAATTGTATTTTGTTAATGTTTCCTCATGAAATAAGGCAAACAGCTGTATTTCCAAACTTGCTTCTGACAGCAGGGACAATCTTTCCAGGTATAAATCAGGAAGCTATGCATAGAAATGCAGTTTTAACTGCATTTTCCTGGATGTGAAAACTAGTGCCAGACAAAACCTGGGCAGACAAAAATCACCTCTTCAATGTCAAAAGCCATTTTAAAAACAATTTGAAAATATGAAACCACCAGGTAGCACTGTGGAATGTATGTCATTCCTAATTAAGTCTCACAATTTTTCACATCTTTTTATCAAGACAAGAGGTAGTACTTCCTATTCAAAACGTATTCTGTAATCATATTGTATTTAGTACTACATAGAATTACTAAATATTGGACTAAATCACAGTCCCGGGTCAGAACAATCCTGACCTTTGTTGCCATCCAAATCCAGATCTCTATACAAACTTTGTGTCTACTTGTATTGTTATAAGGGACTGAACCAGAACCCCAACCTGACAGCCAGCTGAACTATGGCACAGTAAGAACCTAGTTCTGCCCATCTGGCTCATTGTTCTAGGATCCTGAGGCACCAGGACTGTCAAGGAGGTCATGAGTATTAACATCTAAAACTCTGTAGGTCACAAAATTCTTCCTTCACAAGTACAGCATGTTTGTGCACGCTGCTAGGTCTTAGAAGGGCCAAGCAAATGTGTAATCAACCAAGTTTATTTTAGAATCAGCCACTCAATAAGCAGCCTAACTGGGCAAATTGGGCAACAGCCACTGAAGAGATTAATTTATACCATTCCTTTCTTAAATTATTCTCTGACTCTTTTTGGCTAAGCATTGACCCATTAAATCTTACAACCAATTCAAAGTCAATCAATAACCCCCACAATTCTTTAGCTCTTTTTTCTTCAAGAGCATTAGTTAAAACTTACCTCAATAATGTCTGAGAAAAGTATTTCAGAGTATTTGCAATGTCAGTTCCAGAGGGCACAGGGTAAATGTTGTGGAGAACCCGGTTGTGGTATTCCTGAAGGTAACGGATTTTGGAAGCAACTACATAAAAGACAAAAAACAAACACAAAACCTTTCATTTAGGTTTTTTGCAGACTTTGACAGAATCACATCTGTTCCTACCATTTCTGATTTTTTTTTTTATTTAAGAACTATAGTGTAAAAAACAGAAAATTCTCTACATTCCTTCTATTTTGACTGAGTAAACTGAATGCTCCAGTGCAAGAGTGCCAAAGGGAAGGCACAGACGTGGATGCCTGTATCTGTATTAGACTCACTCAGTGCTAGCAAATTAAAAACACCAATAAACAAACAAAAAAACCCCTGCACTACTTCTGTGTCTCCAAGGATCTCAAGATTCATTTATAATGAATGAGTCATTGGATCACAGGAGGTTCATGTGAGACGGATAAATATTTCTACAGCCAAAGCAGAGATATGAGCTAAGACAGAGAGAGCTTATGTGATTTACTTTATGCAATGAACTAAAGATATGAGAGGATCTGTGCTGTTTATTTAAGTGTCTTAGGAAGTCTGATCAAGTAGGTGAGGGGATTTCAAAGAGCAGTAGGAGCATTGCACCTTTACTGAAACCATTTGTTTGTTTCAGAAATAATAGTGAGTTTATTTTCTAATAGAGATGCTTGTTCAATATTGGAAAAAAAGTGATTACCCACCACAGCTGCAATGCCTTACATTGCCTATATGGCACAGGACAGTCTCATGCAGAGACACCCAAGCACACTGTCAACTCTTTTTTGCTCTGCTCAGACTAATCAACTCTGCTGAGAAACAGAGTGCATTGGCTGTGGCAGAGGGCTACACCAGCTCAACTGCGCTTCCAGCTAGACTGCTCAGCAGTTGTTCATAGCATCACTCTGTGCAGACACAGCCTCAGTGAAAGCAGAGCTGGCTGGGAACTCTTAATCATGTTAAAAGTGCACCAAGACTGTGTAATAGGCAGTTAAAAGGGAAGATGCTTCCGAATTACTTCAGCCCTTGAGCATATGGATGATGGCAGTCTTTTACTACACCAAGATATACCTTGTTGCCCTACAGGGCTCCTTCAGTGTGGAAGATAAACTGTGCTTCCTAAACGAGCAATTAGTCAATACTTTGTTTTATTCTCATTGTCAAATGGCATTTATTAAAGAATGAATACCATTAGGTCCTCCGCTGAACAGAAGGGCACTAACTTCCTGAGAGACCTCCCTATGCCTCTCACCGCTGCTGTATCTGAACATTTCATGAGCATTCTGATTTTTTTTTTCTGTATCATTGACAAGTTGAATGAGAAGGGCTGACATTGTGTCCATATTACAGAAAAAGACTGAAGGAGAGACACCAAGAGCGAAGTGTCTGCAACTGCTGTTGGAAGCTCAGCTTGAGATACTGAGAGCCATTTTGCCAGAATAGATAGCAGTATGTACTGGACTTTCACATCCAGTAAACAAAAGCATCTGTGAGTGCTCAGTCACACACAAATGAGGTTTGACAATTGCAAGGCAGTTACCCATAAAATGAGGCACATTCAAATAATCATCAAGCGAAGAATACTGTTTGCTTGAATTGCATGACAAGAAACCCAGTCTTCCAGCACCCAACTGCCTTCATCATGATCAACCTTTCTCCCGCTTCCTGCTGTACTGATCGTACCCTCCCAACTTCTGCAGCAAGTGAAGCTTCTACAGACAAAAGTCTCCATCATGATATTATCCTGCTGCATCACAGGGAGAAAGCCCATCATCTGACTGAATAGGGCTGGGATCTATGGGAAAACGGCAAGTAAAAATGCAATTAGGGACACTGTCACAATGCATATGCAAAAATAATAAACTAAGGATGCATAAGCAACTTCAATTATATTTCCTCACTTTTAAGTATTTCACTTCACAAATTTTATTTTAAGGTAATATTAATGGATAATTAAAATCAATCACTACTTTTCTTCCCCCCAAACAAGTGAAAACAGAAGTTTTGTCACATGGACTCAGATTGCCTCAGTACAGCTAGGAGCAAGACCAGAGCCTTTCAGGCCATCACATAGGTCTGTGGCACAGGAACTGTGCGCTGCAGTAGGTTATGTGCTGAGACCAGCCATAACTAGCTTCCTACATACCCCCAAAACTGGGGTAGTAACATTTGGCCATGATGTGTTTCACTCCAAGTTACAGAAGTTTATTTTAGCAGTCCAAGACCTGCTTTCCTCTCCTCATCCCCCACCTCATTATTTCTGTCCACTATCTCCGTTTCAGTCCCAGATTTGCAGCTCCATTTACCAGATTATTTAAAGACAGATACTTTTTTTTTTTAACTGTCATGAAGAGCCCTACAAAAACTAATCTAGATTAGGTTAGATTAAGAAAGGAATTACTTCATAAATGTATTTTGTGATGCTACTTTCTCTTGCCAGGGAAAAAAAAAAAGAGTATGAAACCAGGCATATTTGCAAAGAAAACAGACCACATTTCACAGTACCCAACAAAGAACAATTCACAGCAAGATGCACAGTTTACTGTGGCTGCCATGGTTTGCTGTCAGGTATCTGTAAGAGAATTGGATTAAGAAAATGCCAAAGATGATGTCAGAAGTCAGGTCTAGATGTATTTCAGAGAACTGTCTGCCTCTCTACAGATACTTAGTTTCAATAAAGGGTATAGGATATCTAGAATCACTTTTTTTTTTTAAATAAAGAAGGAAATCTATTTATTTCTATTAATCAGCATTGTCACACAATTGTATCAAGCAAAATACCAAAACAGAAAACTTATTTATAAAGCCTAAATATTAACATTAGCTTTAGGCTAAAGGTTTTAACCTCACCTCTCAGTTCTGTTTCCCAGAACACTGGCAATTTCAGCACAGCCTCCCAGAACACAAAGAACCTTCTGAAGGAAAGCCCCAGAGCAAAACTTTGCCAGCTTTCAAGATCCAGAAGTGTGTGAATGATCCAATTTTCTGAGTTTCTGAGCACCCAGAGATACACCTCAAAAACTGATGTTACTCTGTGGAAGTACTTAGCCACTGTCATAGGGTCCTCACATACAACAAATTTAAAAAAGGAAAAAAAAAAAAAAAGTTATTCCACGGTGCTTTGCTGGGTATCTCTCTAGGATCTATACAGACCTAACTAAACTCCCTAGCCCCCTTGTAAGCACTGACTGAATCAAGAGTGAAACCATTAGGAGTCTTTAAAGATGGTCTTGGTTGCTCCACTGTCCTGGAGAAGAACGGAGCAGGCATCACGCATTCCCAGGACATTACTTACCACAACTAAACACCAGTTACTGCTATTTAAGGAGAAAAAGAACTAATTTTCTTTCAATATCTCAGGCATGCCTTGATGAGTTAAATGATGAAAGCCATTGTCAATACCACTGGTATGAGATACGAGATGCACGTGGTCACAAAAAAGGGAGGTTTCTCAAGACATTTTCCCAGATTGCCACCATTTTACCTGTTTTTCATACAACCTGCCAAAGAGCTGTGGGGTGGCCACAGATTCATGTTTAGATCAGCACCTCTTCTGTTTCCTCATTCGTAGTGTTTTGCTGCTGTTCTTGGTAAATTGAGATTCATTGTGACTTGTGTCTTGACTTCTTCCCGAGACATTCTGGTTCTTGCCTGTCAGTCAATGAGGGCAGATGCAACAACAGAAACAGTTGGGGTTTGAAGGTTTGCCTGATAGCGATGTATGCACATGATTATCCTTATTGGAATTCATCACCATTTGTCAAAAATTGCAGGTGAGGGAATCTTGAAGTTATGTAGAGACAAAGACATTTGGTAATGCCCTAAGAACTAGTCAAGGGAGCAGCCTTGGTAAACAAAATACATTCAGGTTAGAATGCACAGGGTATGTCCATTAACTGAATACCCTACCTGGAGCATCATGAAAAAGAATGTTAGGAGGCGGAAAGATCTGATATCTGGACCCCAAGTAAATCTTAAAACAGAGAGCAACAGGGACATGGCAGGGCAAGATGCAGTGTCTTGAACAGTACAAGGGGAAAAAGGAAAAACAGCCAAGGAGAAAATACAAAAGAGAAGCTCAAACAGCGCAGACCAAAAGCATTAGGAATGGAGGAACAGAAAAGGCAGAATAGAAAAGGAAGAAAATGCCAAAGGCGTTTTGGGACAAAAGGCGGCAGAAATTCTTCCACATGCCAATGTGAAAGAAGCATAATTAATTTGTAAGTATCACAAGAAAGAAGAAACAATTACAGAACTTAGGTGGGGGGCGGGGAAGGCAGAAAGAACAGAACAGTACAGATCAGAACATTGCACACTTCAGGGCTGTGGCACAATAGAACATTGTGTCTCTATTTATGAGGCCAGAAGTGCATCCCTACAGCAATAAATTAGCATCCACATAACATTTTAATAGCAACATCATCCATCACTGCAAATAAGCAGTAAACCCTAAAGGAAAAAAATAGAAGCATTCTTTTCCTTAGATCAGTTCAGCACAGGCATATATAAATACAAGGATCCTTCCCAGTGACCTGGAGGAAGGAGACAGCAAGTCTCAGCACGTGAAGTGTCAGACCACATCATGCCACCATGACAAACATCAATCCAATGTACTGGTCACAGACCGCCTGGCTCATAACCATGACACTGTTACCAGGAGAGAAAGTAGCTTTGATATGGGCAACAAGCTCGACTACCCTGGTATTTTTCTTTAAGCCTCCCACCAGGGCTCTTGCAGACACACCTGTTGTTATCAGCAGTAACAGTGGGGAACACTAGCATGGCCCAGCTGCTGACGTCCCAACCACCATGTCATCTGATCTTGCTCTGATCAGATCTAGCCAACATGGTGGTTAAAACGCCCATGGCTGTCAGGAGGCACGCTAGGCCCCGGGCAGGGGGATGTCAGCACCTGGGAGGCTCCTGCCGGGAGACTCTGGGGGCTGTGGTAGGCAGCACGTAGGCAAGACAGTAACACCCAGTCTACACTCACTCAAAAAGTGAGCAGCACGGGCAAGAATGACAGCACACCTCCCTTCTCTATCTCACAGCGAGACCACCTTCAAGATGGCAACGCATGGGTCACCTCTGGTCTCTGCAGTCGAATCTCCAGTCTCTCAGGTGGGAGAGGGCACAGCAGCGGCA